GGAATGCAGCCCTATTTTCAACACCGACGAGTGGTCTCCCAGTGGGGATGTTTATGTCGGCGGTACGTCTCTCACTTTGATTCAACATAAATAAGTTTGGAATGACTGTGAAACTAAATATGTGATCGGTGCAGGTACAACCGGATTGGCAATCTGGGCCGTTACCCTAGCCGGAAATCTTGCCGGAGGTGCACTTCTTGTTTACAACACCAGTGCTTTGGCGCAGTAGATTTCTCTATTTGCGCTTCTTGAAATATAGCCTCTCCAATCTACTTGTTCTAATCACAGAACCATCCATCAACTCCTTTGCGCCTCTTTATGTACAATATATAACTTTTAATATTGTGCTTTTCTCTTCTTCTTTCCAAAACAAAATCCTTTGGATTAACTTTGTGCATGTCACGGATATGATATGATATGATATCATACTGCTAAAAAATTAATTCGAGAGTCAAATTAGTTTTTTTTTAAAATTTTAAGGACTTAATTGATATTTTTAGAAAAATAAAAGATTGAAAATAAGAGGAAAAGAAAAAGTGTCAGTTTTCTACGTTGTGAGACGATGTGGTTAGAGTGGCAAAGTGAGTTATAGAAATTTCTAAATTGCAACGTAGTGTGGAACCGACCGATTTTTGGTTATCAACACAACTGTCTTTGATGGGATCGACCGATTTGTTCATCCTCTGTAAGTGATTTAGATGTTTGTGTTTCTCAATTTCTTGTCATTATTGTCGACCTGTCTACTGCAACTAAAGAGTCATATTATTCCAAAAAAGAATCTTCTATTTCATAAATAATAGCATGAGAGCTAAATTGACCAGAAATAAAAATTGACTTAAATAAAATAATAAAAAGCAAAACATCAGTTTTTGTAATTCGAGATCAACTATATATTTAAGTCACCAGGGTGCCTGCATTTTGATCATTAGAATTTTAAAATTTATAATATAATTATAATTTTTTAAATTACTTTTTTTATGATCATTATTATCAACTGTAATTGTAATATAAATATCAAAAGTTTAGTGACTAAAATATAACTATTCTAAACGTTTGGTGATTATTTGTGTAATTTACCCATGAAAATATCATAGGCAATCGCCCCAACTTGGATCTGTCCTTCTCACGGGAAGCATCTTTTACCAACGACTGACGTAAGACAGAATGCTGAGTTGGTGACCACCGGCCTTTAATGCCCTGTAAATTTTTAAACGCAACTTTTCAAAGATATTACTGTAGGAAAAAGAATGCCGACTTTCTGGTAATATAAAAGGGTAAGAGATACATGATCCTCACTTCACTTGTCAGAGTTGAGTACCTGAAATAGGAGAAATTATAACATTATGTCCCCAACAAGTGAAAAGGAAGCAATTAGCAAGAACAATTCATGGAAGAGGGTCAAGGTACAAAAAACATCACTTTACTGACTGTGTTTTCGATCTCTTTTTTTTCTCCTTCTGATAAATCTTTGTTTCTGGTGTTCAACGATGATTGAAAGAAAGCAGAAAAGAAAGTGAAGAGGCTTAAAGCCAAGTTAACATATGTGAAGTCGGAAACAACCAGCATGTTAAGAGCCTTGGAAGAGCGTCACCTTGCTATCACCCAAATTAGGGAAAGGATTCGTCCCCTGTTGCCACCTGACTCGCCGGATGCTTAACTCACTGCCGCCTTGCTTGCTGGAAACAATGGCGATTGAGGTCTCTTCGACGGCGTTTCCCCGTGAATTTGTTGTGAATGATTATAGATATTTTAATCTGAATCTCAAGGTCTTATGCATGCAGTTAGCTGGATTGGTCGTTATGGAGCACTGCAAGGATTAATAATAAAACCTAGTCTTTGAAAACGAAACAAATGATAGAACAAAGGAGATCAATCCAAATTTAAGACCAAGTCTAGAAAGCATATGATGCCAACTCATCTATCTAAGATAAGTGTCAAAAACCCAGATCAAAACTTCATCCAAATAACACAAATGATATCATGTTCATTTTTACATATATACTCGTCCATCAAAAATCATGTCTTAAAGACACTTGCATCGATACTCCATTCTCAAGCAAATTCAAGAAAACATATTTATGATCCCGTTTTTTAAGATAAAAATTATCAAATCTTGAAGACCTTTGGATCTAAATCATATTCTCAAAACAAAAGTCAAGAAATCATCTCTTTGGTTACATCTTCAAGATCATGCATAACCACGCGCACTTGAAGCATATCTTATTGATCTAAGATCAAGTTTTAAAACCCTTGAATCAGATTTATATTGAAAACATTAATCAAAGGATATTCCTAAACTTAAAAACATATAAATCGAAGATTGTACCCTCAAGCTGTTTGATAAATACTTCATTTATTTTTCAGATTTTGATAAAAGTTTGTGTAGAAATTTCTGAAGCACTTGGTGAGATCATTTTTATTACAGTTGTGAATCAATACCAGACCTAGGTGGAACTGGTGAGCCAATAGAGGCATAAACGTAAACAACAGACACCAAGATTTGTTTATACAGTTCACATCAACAATCTATCTCTACAAAACCTTTCTTAAAGAGAAATTCACTAATTAAAAAAATCACACAACGAGAGATTAAGCCTCAACTTAACTTAACTTAACTAAGAGGTGTTAATTTAGTTGAATGTGGATTCTTATATGGATTTCAACAAAATAAGCCAATCCTTAAAAAATATATATTAAAAATCTACACAATTCAGTGCTTAGAGGCTACTGTCTCTCCCATTGGGTGACAAAAAAAGAATCAAGTTCTCAGTTTTTATGTCAACAATCTCCCCTTTCGGATTTTTCTTTTCTTTTCAAAACTCAAAAATGGACTTGTATGCAATGCTAATGATTAACGATCATCCACTTCGGCATATAGGCATATGGAAACATCAATTCATCCATCATGAAGAAAATGTTCCCCTTGATGTAACAATTAAATCCACAACAAGTAGAAGTCACAACCATCATAAACAAGTTTTAACATATCAAAACACTAAATCAGAAAGTTTGAATCTTGAGGAAACAAAAGGAAATAAAGTAGCAACAATATACGAACACGCAGTAGCAACAATTGGTAGTCTTTCTTCACATATATATTAAACTTAAGTTGATGTGACCTTTACTTCAATGAATTGCAGCAGCTGGGCTCTCGAGGTAGCATCGTCGGCAAGGTCAGTTGCTCTCTTGCTTCAATGGGATCCTCAGTAGCTACTTCCTTTGGTACTTACATCAGTTGGATCCACTTCTTCATCTTGATCCAAACTTTGGATATCCACTACATGTTTTCCTTGAAGCCATTTCTTCGAGAACTTCAAGGTGGAGGAATTGCTTCATATATCTTTCATGATTTGAGGATCTTGTTTGATTAGCCTCTGATGATGATAGAGGGAGATACTAGCTTCTTCTTGTTTTTTTCTCCAAGGCTATGCACTCATTAAAGATCTCACTTGTTCCAAGTCAAAGTTGTTCATTGCAAAGACTTTATAAACTACCAAAGGTCATTTCTTCTGAGAGTTTTGGATCCATAGAGATCTGATGTATCAAAGAAAGTGACAAAAGCGTGCTTGATAATCGATATCAGCCACAGGACCATTGTACGCTCCGCTAAGCCCCATACAGCCAAATCCCAACTTTGAAAGCCTACAAAAAAATAAAAAAAATAAAATGCCTATGCACCATCCGGGAATCGAACCCGGGTCTGTACCGTGGCAGGGTACTATTCTACCACTAGACCACTGGTGCTTTGTTCACAGAATATGAAATATTTAATATAATTTATTAGATAATAGATGTTTAACTATTAAAATATATTTATTTCAATAAATAAATATGAAATATGGTTTTCTGATGAATAGAAGTTTCACAGAGCTTTAATTTTATAATCAATAAAAACTTTTATAATGAAACCATAACCTCCTGGGTGAAGAAAATAAATTTTAAAAAAAAAGCCATTCCCAACACCTTTATCACAAAAAAATTGTCTCATGAAAAAATGTAATGAAATGTTCACTTCTATTGTCACTGAGTTCATAAATTAAAATGAAAATAGAAAGAAGAGAGGAAAAAATATTTATAATTTCATGACAAAATCAGTGAAACTAATCTATATCACAATGAAAATAAATTGCAGTCTCTGCATTACTGTTGAGACAGAACAAATGGCTGTCCATATTGCAATTAAGTTGTTGAAAATGAAAACTAAAGGAACATAATTCAAATTATACAATTCCAACACTGCTTCATCCTTCCTATGATGCTTGACTTCTATCCATTGCTGAAGAGCAAAATCGAGGTTCCATGAGACATGAGACATCGCCGCTCCATTCCCTGATCGGATAAGCATTTCGCTGGCAAACATCTTTATTTTCCCTTTCAGACGAGGATTGAAGATGTCTTCCATGAGTAAACATCGGATTTTTCCGTGAGTTGCAGCCTTTGGAAATATTCAGGGACCAGGTAACTTACTTAAGTGGCCTTGATTCATTTCTACAGCCTGAAATTCGAAACTTTGGCCATGAGCGATGAGCTTTCTTCTTGTTGTAAAGGTGATCCCCAAGAGCCATCTAGTCATAAACCAATATTTCACCACTATCCTCACAGAAACCGATCAACCAGACCAAATGCTTCTGTTTCGCCTTTGAAAGCTTTGGAACTCATTAATTCCTTGTTCGGATGACGGATTGGATCGCTTGATAGCTATTTTAAAAGTTCTGATTTTTTTACTAAATCCTTAATTTTTTTCAAAAAATTTTAATTGTTTCTTTGAAAATTTTTATTAGACACCTCGAAGAAGAAAAAAACATCGGGATCTATTTTTATAATATTGAAGTGTATTGATTTTTTTTTTGAAAAAAAATCTATACCAAGTAACAAAGGTTAAAGAAATGTCTTCAAAAAGAAAATATTTTGATATTATTTAAGAATCGTCATTTTTCATTTAATAAAGCCTTTGTTTTGTTTTTCTTTATCATTTTGTTGAACAACAAATTCTTGAGTTGTTATATCAAAATCATATTTTTATTCTTTAATTCTTATGGATCTCTCCGGTTCTTCTACGTTATCATGTCCCCAAAATTTCTCACGCTTCCTCGCTCCCACTCATTTCCTCTCTCCCACCATCAAATTTCCTTTCTTTTCTTCCAAACACCACCTCCGCCATCAAAAGGCATCCATTATCATCCCCCAAGAGCTCTCAGGGAATGGCAAGAATACGAGGAAGCAGTGAAGAAGAAGGACTTAGCTACCGCTCTAAGGTTCCTCATATCCATTGAAAAAGACAATAGCGACAACCCTGTTGAGCAAAATGGTTCCTTGTCCACTCGGTCGGCTCGGTCAGGACCCGGCGATTTGAATTTTCTTGGTGGGTCTGTGAGGGATTGGGAGGTCTTGGACACGTGCCTGAATGCTGATGATATGAGACTTGTTGGCACTGCTTATGAGTTCCTTAAGGTCAAAGGCTTTTTACCCAATTTTGGAAGATTCAGTAGCATCGGTAAATAAATTACTTTCTATATTCAAGCTAAATTATTAGTATCATGTTTGATTTTTAGTAACTTTTGGATGCTGATTTCATATCTTGATTTCTAAATTTTGTTGAATGTTGGATGCTTGCTGCTATTTTTTTCTTTTATATATTTTCATGCAGTCGATAATATGATAAAAGGAAAATGAATTTATACTTTTGAGGACTCTGATGTTAGTTTTGGTCAGAGGAGAAGATAGAAAAGTTTAGAATTGATTAAGACTTGTTACTTCATTTGTTAATTTTTAAACAAGATGCGTTTCCATGGAGAAGCAAAAAACATTTTTAAGAGAGGATAAAAAAATGTTCATAAAATGCGAAGGAAAGTGTACTCTGTGATGAACATTTGACATTATAAGGACCAGGTATTCGAAGAATAGATAAGTGCGAGATTCACAAAAAGAATGAACTGATTATAAAGAAAACTCATATAATTAGTATTCGAACTGGTACCTTAAAGTGTCCCTATAATGTCTTTGTTCAAGTAGAAAACATGGAATAGACAGTAAAATAATTTAACGAATATGTGGGAATGATAGATATTTTCTTATGGATAAGGCACAATGTGTTGCAGTTTGGTTGGTCCATTAGCTTGCTTTACATGCTAGTGCCAGTAATATCACTTGATAATGATTTCTATGTAATTAATACTGAAAAGCAAGTTTTACCATCTTGTGTTTGTTGGCATGATTTTCAATTCATTTGCTAGGTTCATTGTTTCTAAAGAGCCTTGCTTTATACCTGGATTCTAAATGCCGATATACTTTATAACTGTCATTAACTGCTACTACTGATCTGCTGCATTAGTATTTTAGAACTTTTTGGCTTATCTTACTGCAAGCCTGTTGGCCTTTCCCGTTAGCAATTATTTGCATGCTAGACTATAAAAAATGTAATCTTAATATTTGGTATTGTCATGTTTGAAATGTTGATGTGTAGGTAATGGTTTCGTATGTTTCTTAGTTTTTGGAAAGAATACATCAGTTCCCATCATTCTTTGCAATAATACTCTAATGAAATATCCTTACTGCTAATGTCTTAGCAATTTTATTCAAACTACATTCTTGTCCGACTAGGAATAACAATAGCCTTATGAGAACATTTCCCATCCCCCAATATATTTATTTGTCATTAATTAAAATTATATTTCTAAATAACTAAGCTGGACCATAATAAAGTTCCTACATTCTGCAGTTTTAGAGGGGAATAGAGATGTTACACCTTCTGTGTTGAGGTCTTCTACTGGCCTAGAAGGTATATATCTATATTAATTTCCTGAATGGTTTAAATTGTTCTATACGATATCATCTCATGTTGATTTGAGGTGATGAACTTTTCCCTCCCTCATATACAGCTTCTAAATTTTCCCCAAAGAAGTGGGGTCTTTCTGGAAGCTCAGGTGTTGTGCTGGCGGGTTTTCTTGGTGGGGTGTCCTATCTACTCCAACAAGGAATTGATATCAGGCCTCAACTTGCAGTTATACTGGCGCTAGCTTTCACAGTCTCTATCCTCCTTGGTGGTACCTGTTTAGCTCAAATCTCTAGTTATTGGCCTCCATCTAGGCGTAGGATTCTAGTTCATGAAGCAGGGCATCTGTTAGTAGGTATGTGATCAATTGTTTGCTTTTTTATGTCAAAGCAACTAGTGCATACAAAAGAAAACATTAGGTTTGAACCTTTATATATGAAAGTCTTTATGCCTATTCCATCTCTAGATGTCTTTTTTCTCACATTTAGCACCTTGCGTGATTTGATTTGTTTCTACAATACTGTTGCTTTGTATTTGTTTTGTTTTGTTAGAAGCATAATTGATTCTGTTAGTTTATTCACAGCTTATCTTATGGGTTGTCCTATTCGTGGAGTGATTTTAGACCCGATAGTTGCAATGCAAATGGGCATTCAAGGGCAGGTATTTAAGTTACCATTTGTTGTTTTCGTGGACCTTTTCTTCTCTATGCTATTGGGTGCTATCCCATTCAATGCGATGTGATCAATTTCATTAACTTCGAGACAGTTTATCAAGATGAATATTAAAATAAGGGCTGCAGTTTTGCTTGAACAAATATCAAGCAAAAGATTCAGTGTTTTATTTATCTGTGTCAGATCAAGAGGAATTTGTCAAAGGAAGGAGCCACTTTACATTTATTTATTATACAGTGAATTTGTTGATAACTTTTGTTGTGATTCTTAATCATGTTTGAATTTCTCAGTTCTATTATTCCAAAATCCTCTCGTTTAAACCTCTCTTTTATGTTACCTTGATTTATGTATTAGTTATTATCACACTTGAAAAAAGAAAAAGAAAAATCCTATTGCTAGGGTGGTCTAAGATGCCCGAGTTGTGAGTGGTGAGCAGGACATGGTCTTATCACCTCATGAGTTTTACATGAAATGAAGTTGGAGGCTAGTAGCCTTCCTGACTTAACATGGTGTTTTCTGTATAGCGTAGCATTATGTTTACCCTTTCACGAGCCAATGGCCCGTGATAATGTACTTCTTTTGTAACCCCTCTTGGCTGTCTTTGAGATGATGTTTCAAGGAATCTGATTAGTTTGGATCAACATATGACAGTGTTACTTGAATGGTCTCACATTTTTACAGGCTGGAACTCAGTTTTGGGATGAAAAAATGAATAATGAAATGGCAGAAGGACAATTGAGTGGTTCCACCTTTGACAGGTTTGTAGGACAAGTTGGTTCCTGTTTTTCATATGTGAAACAATTGAACACAATTTTATATGGTAATCTGATTTGTGATGCATGTCTCTTTCCTAAATTCAATTGAAAATTTTCATGTGGAATAATCTGTTCAAACTGCACTCAAAAAGGGTTCTTTTCTTCCAGTTATGTAGTGAAACTTTAATCATATTGTTCTCTCTTGATCCTTGAAAAAACGTTACTTTTTCTATAAAATCAAACTAGCTCTCCACTTTATTGTTTTAGCACAATGTTGTTTCTGATTACCGCTTGACCTATAATTCTGTTCAGGGGCGCTTGCTTATGGCAGGTTATAAAGTCATCATTGGAACCGGCATATATGCGATAATATGATTCCATTTTTAATGATTAAGCCTTCAATGAAGGCCTAAGCCTGAAATAATTATAATGTGGTATGATTTATTGAACAGATATTGCATGGTACTTTTTGCCGGCATTGCAGCCGAAGCTCTTGTCTATGGTGAAGCTGAGGGTGGGGAGAATGATGAAAACTTGTTTAGAAGCATCTGTGTATTTCTTCAACCCCCACTCTCTGTAGCTCAGGTACCATTTTGACAGTCTTAGCTTTCAAGCGTTTGTGATATTCTTCTCTTGATTTAATATTGACCTAGTTTTCCATTGCTTTTGAAAAGATGTCAAATCAAGCAAGATGGTCAGTGCTACAATCGTACAATCTGCTTAAATGGCATAGACGTGCTCATCGAGCTGCTTTCAAAGCTATGGAAAATGGCGGCAATCTTAGTGTCATAGTTGGGAAAATTGAGGAAGTCATGTCTTCCAGCAGATGAAGTATATTGAAGCTCCAAATTTACTGGTTCGATGGAGCATCTCCAATAATTATGTTGGATGGAGCATATCATTTTCAATAAATATGTTTGACGGAGCATATCATTTTCAATAAATATGATAATGCAATAATCTCATTTCCCCATTTGCATTTTGAAGAGGTTAGCAGTTTCGCATAGGAAAAAGTAGCTCATCTCGGCACGATAAAGTCGGTTCTAATTCTATGAGCTAACGAAGGAAATAAAGCTTGTGAGGAGAGTGTAAACTTGTTTATCAAATCATTTTTATTAATATGTCACATTATTAATGTCATTGGAGTTAATATCTTCGTGATTAAATTATTATTAATTGTTAATGTAATTAACCAAATTATAAAATTAAGAGTTGGATAGATAAAAAAAAAAGTAACCTTTATTATAGTTTTTGAAAAAATAATAATATGTTAATTTAGGTAATGAGTAAAATCAAAAGCTATGAAGATATTTAAAAAGCAAAAAAGTTTTTTTTCATTACAGTGTAATATATGTTCAAAAGACTTAATTATTTGACAGTAAATATTAAAAAACTCTTGTAGATGACTTGATCGAATCCGAGATCCTCTAGTGTTATGATTGTGAAATTAAATAAACAAATATAGGATGGTCTAGAAGGTGAGTTTAATTGTAATGCTGTGGATCGCGCGGCACCTTCGAAGCATTGTTATGTTTAACGGTAGTAGTCGGCCAATTACTTCCATCACCCTCCTATGACAAAAGTTAACATTATCTTTTCAAATGGGCAATTCATCATCCATGGGGTGTTTTGAATTAATCATAATTATAAAAGCATCAACAGTTAATTAAATCCAATTTTATTACGAACGAATTAATATAATCAAATGTCCAACTAGAAAGAAATGCAGTTATAAATAAGTGCCTTGGATAGCAAGCTTCTCTTCATTCTTCGCTCCACAGCTACTTTCATTCTCTGTGTCAACTCTATGGGTTTGCTTGCCACTTTCTCTCTCGCTCACTTTCTTTCTCTTAAATTATTAATCAAAAGAACCGATGGAAACTTAGAAGAGATGGGGAAGAAAACAACAATTTTGCAGGGTGCAACTAAAGGAATTATTTCCCAGAAGAAACATCGAAGGTCAAGGAAACCCAAGTTTGAGGTAGTTTCAATGACTAGGAAGCTCTTTTAGGGGTTTTAAATCTCTATTATTTTCTTTATTTCTTGCTTTATTTTTCATTTCTAGGTTGGGAAACCCAAACAAGGATATGATCACAAGAAAAAGGATAAGAAAAGGAAGCAGAAGTTGGGCAGGCAGATAGCCAAACTTGGGCCGGAAGAGTTTCCGTTGATGTTTGCTCAAGTAAGGGAAATGGGACAGCGCCTGAGAGAGTTGAACACTGAGATCGATGCTTACATTCTGGATAAGCTTAAAAGCTGGGATGAGGGAGACAAAGGTTGGTTTTGCCCTAAATTTTATCAGTTTTACAATCATATGGTTTTTGAAAGCTTGTTTGATGCTGGTATTTAGTTGATCTTGTACATGTTATTTTTGAAGCAGCTTCCGTTGAATAAAGACAAGATAAGAGGAGAGAAAAGCAAGGAGCTGATTCCTAGTCTTAGGGTTTCTCTGTCTATCGTTTTAACCATCAATAGCTGAGTTGGTGTGTTTTTGGATATGTGTACTCAATTCTCTTGGGATTTCTATTTCAAACGATATCTTAATAAAATGGATTCATTTATACAATCCCTAGTGAATTGATTAGTATATATTAAATTATATATTCTTAGAGATGGATTAAAATTATTTAAATTGATGCACAAATCAAATCAAATTAGTTGTTAAAGTTATGGTTATTGTCACTAGAGGTCCTAAGTTTGAGCACCAGAAACAGTAAGGATATTTGAGTTTTCATTGTCAAATGGTGAAGAATCTTTGAAGATACTACCTTGTAATCATCCATCCTATATTTAACCAAAAAAATATTTAAATTGATCAAATCAATTAAATAATATTTTTAATTCATTTTAATTTTCTCTTAATATATTTTTTTAATTCCAATTGATCCCATATTTCACATAATTATTTGGGTGTTAGTTATGATTGTTTAGATGAAATATTAAAATAATAATCATTTAACATCATTAAAATAAATTTATTCATAAATCCCAAATGGAAATACAAAAGAAGGGAAATATGGAGAAAGCATATATAACATGATTCTATTTTTCAGAATTCAACAGTCAGTTACTTTTTTTCAATCATTTTTTTGAAAGAGATAATCAATAAGTTGATCAGCAAAATGTTAATATCTAATCCAATAGGCGAAACAAAAGAACAAGAGAGAGAGAGAGAGAGAGAGAGAGAGAGGACTTACTTACAGTAACATCATCTTCCCAAATGTTTGTTGTATAGAGCCTCAGCTCATGACTTGTATCAGGCTGTGTTGCTTACTGAGACTCCATCGATGAAAGCAATTATGAGATTTTAAAGAAATCTTAGAGTTTTCTTTTTAATAATAATAATAAATTTGAAAATTTTAAGATAATTTTAAAAATGTATAAACATGTCATGTTTTGAACGGTTGACAGATTTTTTTTAATAATTATTAATAATTAAACACCTTAAATGATAATGGAGTAACCGCTGGACACCTACTTTCAAAAGAAACTTGAAATGAATAAAAATATAATTTAAATATTTCATTTTTTAATTAATCCTATTTTCAATTACTTTAAGAAAATGCCAGAACTGCATTCACGTACGCGAGATGGGGACTCCATTCTTATCCTTATAACAAGAATTATTATTATTATTATTTACAATATAAAACAACCTACGATTGCATGATAACTCCAACACAAATGCTTAAACTGAAATGAAAAATTCCCTCCAAGTTCTTACATCCTATAACTTTGACCAAAACCACAATCAGAAATATAAAAGTGGGAAATTTTGTACTTAAAAATGCCAAACGGAATCTGGATAATTACTTAGTTTAGTATTACCTTTTGTTGTTGAGAAAAAGCTTAGTTTGGGAAAATATACTTAAATAATAGTTCATTTGATGTTGGAAAATTTGAAGGCTGACATTAATGAGTTAGAATCCACCCCATTTGATGAAATTATAAGCTCAACTTAATTCAAGTAAAGAAAAAAATGTCATCATATCAAAGAATGTATATTTTTGTCAAGCATGTGATGAATGGAAGCCTAATGGTTTCTATAATACCCAATAAGATAACTTAATGTTCTACTACATAATACCCAATAAGAGTCATAAGGTTCATATGTCGAATTCCTCCAATGACCAACTCTGCTTTGTAAGTTGACCCAAATCCAATTGTACCATAGAAGTTTGGGATGCTAAAATTTACCACAGCTCAGCTCACTAGGAGCATCTGCACCCATTTTTACTCAATTCCTTGCAACTATTCTGATGATGTTAGAGCTTAGGTGCAAGGTAGGAATGTTGTGAATCTTAACCATTTGTGTAGCAAACTACCCATCCTCACTTCTTTCCATCTTTCGAACCAAGCAAAGCCACCAATACCGGCATATATGCTGCTTCCAACTCTATTAACTGTAGACAATCAAGAGTTAAATGCCTCCTGCGTCCCACATCTTATCTGTTTTACACGGAATCCAAATAAGGGCAAGAAGAAAAGGTTGAAGTACCAAGTATACCTTCCCACAATGACCAATCCAACAATCTATAGCTCTTAAAGACATAAGGATTGAATACTTACATATTTTATATGTGCATATGAGATCCTAACAGCCCAAAGTTAAAATGAAGGGCCAGTGACAATAGTCAAAGGAGTTTTCTGCTATACACACTGACGTAAAATGTAAATACGAAGAAGATAAAAAGCTATCGATCAATCATGAATTAGAAGATTGATGAAGTTGGATCTGGTCAAGGAAATTAGCTCTGGATTTATAGACAGCATCAAAGCAAAAGTATATATGATCCTCAAGTTCTTTGAGCTTGTCAAAAAACTTGTTGTGGTTATTGCGGAGATATTTCAGGACATAGATGGGGAATATGTCCCCGCCGCTTTCCTGTCGTCCTTAACTGCAGAATGCAACAAATCAACCAGGCAGACAATAGACACGAGATAATTGATATGGAAAAAAGTTCCACTTCTGGTAGCAGCATACAGTTGAGCCTTATGGGTAAGCTGTTTCATCTTGAGAGAACTTGAAACACCACAGGGACAAAGAGGGGTAGCAGCAAGGCCTACAATGGCAGCAACGGCATGAGTGGATATGACAACAGCTGAAATGACAACTCCAATAACACTGCCAATTAGGCAAATTGCAGAGACAGTAGTTGAACGGTTCAATAAGCGAAGTCTAGAAAGAGATTTGTTGCGGTGGTGATCAAGCTGCTCATTGAGCTGGGAGAAACTGCGGTGCGTTTCGTTGAAGTTATGGGAATCAGGAGATGGAAAAGGGTTGTCAAGGCTGTCGAATTGGACGAAAACATCCAGGGCACAGTTACAGTGCGAGAGACGGATAGAGCTTTGGTCAGAAGGGAGCTCTTGAAGAAGGTCAGAAATGGGAGCATACAGGGTACGAGCACGAGACACGCATTGGCGGAGCATGAGGCAAAGAGTGGTAATATTTTCGCCGTGATCAAAGTATGTAGAAACCAAGCGAGTCCGTGTGGCATCGGGATTGATGTGCCGAAGAGCTTGATGGACAGAATCTCTTCTGGGACGTAAAAAAGGCGTCAAACGCAAGTGATGGGTAACTGTACCCTCGATTTCAATCACATTATCAGCTTGCATTTGAGCTTCAATAATGGAGAGTATCTCATTGTAAGAAGTATTCTGCAAAGCGAGAGTGTACTCGTGACTGAGATTTAAGGTAGGCGAGAACTGAGTGGTGCTTGATCTGGGCGTTTCGTCAGTGGAATTCCCTGGTAGAAGAGAGCATGTTTGGTTGAGGCATTTGCACAAACACCTCCCGTGCTCGAACGACCAATTTACCGTACCATGACTATCTTGGCGACAAGAATTTTGTCTAGTAGAATGAGATTGAGTTTACGATGAGCTCGCGGACGAAGACTTGAAATCAAAGGAGAGCGAGTGCATATCTTTTTACCAATGTCTGAAACCGAAAAGCATAAGATCTACATGTCGAGTGGATGAAGGGAGAGGTGAAAGTTATTAGCTCGATCTAGACGAGGGGCGAAACTATGTTGGATGAAATTGTAAAATAGCAGTGGTAATAAAATTAGGGCTTAAACATGAAATTTAACATTCTTTTTATCATTAGGTTTAGGGTAAAATACACGAGAGACCACTAAACTATAATTAAAAATCAATTTGACCACCGAAGTTTTAATTGAATCAATCAAACCATTCAACTATTTAAATGTTTCAAACAAGTTACCGACCGATAATTTTTAACGAAAGTGAAAAAGTGTTCGTTAATAAAATTGACATAATTCTATATTTAATCCTTAATATTTACATATTCTATCAATCAAACCACCGGTCGATATCTTTCTCAAGATTTTCCCTAACTAAAACAATGGCAGCTTCTATTTACAAACTTGCCACTATTTTCCTATTCTGTATCATCCCTTCTTCCTTCCGCGAGCAGCTTCGAGAGCATCCTCTGGTGTTGAATTACCACAATGGCCCTCTTTTAAAGGGCAAAATCGCATTCAATCTCATCTGGTACGGCAAGTTTACCCCTTCCCAACGCTCCATAATCGTCGATTTCATCAACTCGTTAAGTTCCGCCAACCTCAAGCTTCCTTCGGCATCTTCATGGTGGAAAACGACTGAGAAATACAGGAGCGGTTCATCCACCTTAGTTGTGGGCAAGTCCTCCTCGAAAACTACCCACTCGGTAAAACCCTTAAGAACCCACACTTGCCGGCCTTGGCCGAAAAATTTAACGACGCCAATACTATCAGCATCATCCTCACGATCAAAGATGTAGCCGTCGAAGGCTTTTGCATGAGGTGCGGGACTCACAGGTCTACTCGGAGACTCAGTGTCCCGGTCAATGCGCCTGGCCGTTTCACCAGCCTATTTATGGTCCCCAAATGCCGCCTTTGGTTGCTCCTAACGAAGACGTTGGGGTTGATGGAATGATCATTAACTTGGCCACCCTTTTGGCTAGCACCGTTACCAATCCGTTTAATAACGGGTTTTTCCAGGGGCCGACCAACGCGCCATTGGAGGCGGTTTCGGCTTGCACCGAGATGTTCGGGTCGGGTTCGTACCCGGGATATCCGGGTAATCTTTTGGTGGAGAAGACTACCGGGGCGAGCTATAATGCAAACGGCGTTAATGGCCGGAAATACTTGTTGTCGGCGATGTGGTGAAGGGGAAACGAATGTAGATATTTGTATGTATGGGTTCTCGTGATGGGTGAATTCTAGTTTGGTATTGCCCAAGAAAAAGAATTATGGTTTGTTGTGAAAAAAAAAATTGATAGAATAGGTAAATATTAAAGATTAAATATAGAATTATGTTGATTTTATTAACGAACATATTATTATATCTGTTAAAAATTAACGATTGGTGACTTAATTAAAATATTTAAATAGTTAGACGACAAGTGAGTGGTCGGCGGGTGAGTGGGTAGTGGCCTGCAGGCCTTGGTGTATTTTATGAAAAATATGAAAAGTTGAGATTTTTTTTAAATTATGAATTTTATCTTTTTAAAAAAGTAAATGAAATAAAAAATTAAGTCACATGTTTAATATTGATTGGTTGACTTAATTTTAACATTTTTTAACGGTCTTTACGTCGTAGGCACCTAAATGATAACATTAAAACGTTACCTAAATTAATCAAAAAATATTTAGACACCTAAATGAGAAAAGAGGTATAATTTGGACCATATTTTATATTAAGCCAAAGATTAATTACATTGCGTATTTTATTAGTGAGGATAAGAACGAATCCATGGCTAATGTGGGTTAGTGTAAGTGTTAGCATATTAGAATAATGAAAATGAATAATTAATGCCAGGCATTTAGATAGTAATAATTTGTTTAATAAGTCTTGCGTTGACTTAAAAGAATATAAATTTGTGAGACTGAGCGAGTAAGTCATCAGTAGCAAAGCAAGCTTACAATTCCAGAAATGGGGATTCTTTACTACTCCAAGTAAGTCTCATCATCTTCTTCGGCTTTACTTTTTTCCCCCCTTTCTCTTTGATATTAAGATTTAGTTCTTCATTTTGTTGTTCCTAATTCCTATTTAACTGCAAATTTACTCTATTTTATATCTGATTTTAACCAGACTTGTAGATATTAAGGTGTGGGTTTGGATTTCTAAGTTAATGTTTTTGAGTAAGATTTTAGGATAAATTATGTATTTAGTCATCTAACTATTTCTTAGGTTTTGTTTTTACCACTTAACTATTTTTTTCTCCAGAATCATACCTAAACTTACATTTTTATTCCGTTTTAGTCACCCACCGTTAAAAACAATACCGATGATACTGACATGTCACCATAAGATAACAAAACAAAAACGTAACTTTAGGTATCATTTTGAAAAAAAAAATAGTTGGATTCCTAAAATAGAATCACGAGAATAATTGGGTGATTAAATACATAGTTTACCTTAGATTTTATGGTATAAATTAAAATTATTATTTATAATTTATAGAATTATATTTTAAAATATATAAAATAAATTATAAATGATTGAGCCAGGTCAGGCTAAAAGCCGAACCGAATAAAAAATGAGATAAAATTTTCGGGTTTTGTAACCCTCCTATATTCAGGACGAAGTCTTCAAGTCTAGACGGATAATCCAACTTTAAATAGGTTTATCCTCCATTTATATAACTTTTCAAAAATAATTTTAAAAATATATTTTACAATTAATTTAAATAAAATATATTTTCCATAATAATATTTTCGCACTGAATTAATAGATAGTGAAACTAACTGATATTCGTTCCAGAGACGAATGTATATAGAGTAGGAATGACTCTTGTCTCTTCTAAAATTATTAGTCTAATAGTATTTTAGATCCATATCAATTTAAATTTAAATAAAATTATATTTTTACCCTTTTAATTTTAGATTAAATACGTAATAAGTTCATATTATTTTTAAGTTATGTGCCTTGTCCCAACAATATTTTATCATAGCTTTGTCGTTGGTTCATTCCATTTTTATAAATAGATGAATTTCTCTCTTTTTATTAGCCTAGTGTGTATACAAGGTAATATATGTTCAAAGACTCTCAATTATTTGACATTGAATACTCATATACTCTTACATATTTGGTGTTCGAATCCGAGACCTCAATGAATAATAACAATTTCTTAACAACTAAAATCGCTTAGTTTGTGTTAAATAAATGAATTTCAAATATGCTAAACTACTAAGTTATTTCAAAAGTACCTAAATAGAGATCGATGTGCATGAATTTGAAAATAGTAAAAAGGTCCATGTCTAATTTTATTACTTTCATCTGCTATCAATTTTGAAATCATAGCTTTTTAAACACAACATCCATATTTATTATTAATTTCTAACCATCCTTTTACTCGTTTAAATATAAAATTAAACTAAATTATGTCACACATATAAAACGAGTGAAAATATTTTATATAAAAATATATTTATAAATTTTATTTAAAAATAATTAAAAGTGAGATGATAAAAAAAATCATAACTTTTTACCAATCATGCGTTCAGATTCATATTCACTTACAAAAACATATTCAATATTTTCTTTGAGTTGTTAGAGTTTTGTATCAACAATATACAAAAAGATTATGAGTAGTTCTTTGAGCCCTTTATTTATTTATTTATAATCCAGTCAGCTATCCATATTTCATCATGTTTTATGCATTTTTGTGTCACGGACTAAGGTTTGTGCGCACATATACGTCCTAGTAGTTTCTTGTAACGCATCGTGACCAATAGGTCCACCAAAGTTGGATTGTGCTTGCTGCCATCCAAAAGGCTCATCTTTGAGAAACTCAACCCATCAATTAAATAGAGACCTAGTCAAATTAGGATCCAAGAATAAAAGATAAACTTTGAGTTGTCTTAAGACTTCGGCTTGTACATAAACTTTTTAATCCTAGTCGATGGAGTAAATATATTGTGTTCGATTAGGACACCATCAATTTTAAAGAGACTCGAGTATAAAGAGAAGTTATTCCTACCTCAATTGGCATGATCAATTTATGAGTGAACAAGATGAATCCGAGCATTGGCTCAAATCTCTCTTTTTATCTTTTCATTTAAGGCTTTTCTTATTCTACTTCCACTCATTCAATCTGCTGTATTTTTTCTAAGTTGCTTACGTGAGTTTTAGGGCGTGTTCATCTAGGTTGAAGGTTGACTTAGTCCAACTCATGCTTCAATTTCTAAGACCACGTGGTTTGCTAAATTTGACTCTAGCCCCGTGAAATTAAATGATATCCGAACCAAGTTTGCGAGTGAAGTTGTTTTGTGATGGCACAACAAGAAAGCGAGGTTACCGTACACGAGAGTATGGAGACTCGATCTGGTAAGCAAAAGAGGAAACGCTCGAGGGACATCTTATCATTGTTGGAAGAGAGAGTCATATGAATTGAAGGATCCATGGAGGATACGAAGGAGAAACTTGACTCGCATAAGATATGTCTTGACAAGCTGGACTCCAAGGAAGATGAGCTCAAAGAAGAGACGTAGGGGTTGCTTAATAAGACGATGAACAATATGGGCTAAAGGAGCGATGCTTTTGAAGCCGAGATAATGGCCTTTAGGAAAGTGGTACAAGAACTCAAAGGAGAATTGATTTTGTGCAAAGCAACCGTGACGTTGTTGCACTCAAACCCAAGGTGGATGCCTCAAGATTGAATGGGTTCAAAGGAAATTAGTCGACAATTCCAGTTTACCAAGACTTAGAAATCATTATCAAGGTGCTTACCACTTTAATTAATTCCCGTTGATTGAACCATTATGCATTTAGTTGATCTTTATAAGTGTTAAAAAATATATAATTAGAATCTATTTAGATTTTGGGATTTGTAACCTTTTAAATGTGCACGCTGGAACAACTCGGTTAGTTTGCAAGGAACACTAGGTGCATGTGTCACATGGTTAGAGTCGGATCTAGCAAATCGTACGGTCGTAGGTACTGAAACATGAGCTAAATGTCTAAGTCAGTGTTCAATTAAGATGAACAAGATCTAAAACTCACTTGGACAATTTGAAAAAAAGCACAACATATTAAATAGGTGGAAGTAGAGTAAGAGAAGCCTTATAATGAAAACTCAACAAGAGAGATTTAAGCCATACTCGGGTTTATTTTATTCACTCATAAATCGATCATGTCAATAAAGCTTGACATATGGCCTTTAGGTCTCAACAATTCAAACAAGATGTGGATCAATTCGAAATAATCAAAGCAAAGTCTTAGGAATTGAGAAGGTAAAAAAACATAATGAGGTTCAATTGAAATTGATTTTTTTTTCAATCTACTCAATAAATAAAATTCAAACCTTTTAATTATTTTTGAAAAATAAAAATAAAAATAAAAATTTATATAATAAAAATGTAACAATTTACATCAAAACATGTCAAATATTAGTTAAATTTTATTTTTACGACATTAAGAAAAAAAATCTCACTTTTCCTAAATTTCAAAATTATAATCATTTAGTCTACTTTGAGTCCTCAAGACTCAAAATATAAATCCGAGGGATGTATTCATATGGAAATGAAGCTTACATGTACCTTAGTTTACAAATTCAGATTCAAAACCTATGGTGGATGAAAACACATGTTTCCAAGGCCATAGGTTCACTGGTCTGATCACTCTTACTCTACCCAGATTAATTTAGTTCCCTTTATATAACATATAAACCAATTAAAGTTCACATTTCGTGCTACAGCCTAAACTAAAGAATAGTTTCAAAATCATCCCAAAATTGAATCTTCACGACTTAAAATCAAGGGTAAACTACATATTTAGTACCTAAACTATCATTTTTATTTCATTTTAGTATCTAAATTTTATTTTTTTTAAATCATACATAATGTTTAGTTCATGTTTCAATTTGGTACTATGTCATTAAAAACTTGTTGGCAACAATGACTTGGAATTTACATTACAAGATGTGTGGAATATCAAAAAAGGAAAAATAATTTCACACCATAGTTGTTCAAAAACTTTCAACCTTTTGACAATGAACACTCATATCCTTCGATATATGATGTTCAAACCCAAGGCCTCAAGAAATAATAATAATTTTGTAACCACTAAAATCTCTTGGTTCATGCTTGTATTACTAAAGTAGTTAGAGTGCATTCTAATGCATATAATGATGGGTAAATATTTTATGCATGCATCACTCACGTAATTATGCAGTCAGCATTCAACAAGAATCAGAAATGATTATTACCCAAATTAAAGTGGAATATTAAATGATGCAAACGGATTGTCTTTCAATAACAGAAACACACCCACTTGAGTTCTTGACAGATAGATCAACTGAGAAACCCTAAGAAATCGAAACTTTTTGTTGGTCTTATCTTCTCTTTATTCATCTGAAGCTGCCGGATTTAAGTTTCCTACAAAATTGAGTTCCATCAGGCAAAATTCCAATAGATAACTGATAAAGTTAGGGGAAAACCTACCAGATGTATATATATATATCAAATACTCAAAAGCCGTTGTCTTCATCATCCCAAGCTTTAAGTTGATTAAGAATGTGAGCGTCGATCTCAGACATCAGTTCTTTCGCCCGCTGATTGTTTGCCCTAATTTCAGCAAACATCAAAGGAAACTCGTCCAGTCGCTTTGCAATCTGGGTGGCCAAAGTCCTATGCTTCTTTTTCTTATCCTTTCTCTGGTTGTGCTTTGGTTTTCCTTTGCCAATCTAAACACAAGTTTCAAAAAACAATAACAATAAATAAGAAGGCAAAAACCCAAGAAAAGTATGTATTAAGAGAATGAAAAAGAATACCTCAAACTTGGGTTTCTTTGACCTAAGATGTTTCTTTTGAGAAACCCTGCCTAGGGTTTGGTTAGTTGAGCCCAGCAAATGGTTCATTTTCTTCCCCATTTCTGCAAGTTACATCGGTGCGTTTTAAAATAATAATTGAAAGAGTAGTTTATTTTCTTTGAAGATTCCAAAGTATCCTATAAAATGCTTGCTGATTGCTTCAATGACGTTTTTGGAAAGAAAAATAAGGGAGAATGAGAAACTGGAAATTGATATGCAGCGATCCAATAAACTCATAGATATAAACTGAGAAATTCAATAGTTTATAAACAAAACTAACCTTCAAGTCTTTTTTTGATGATTAGAAATCTGCAAGTTACTCGCACCAAACTGGCTCAGGAGGGAGGAGAAAGTGAAGAACTTGTGAAGCCCAATGGCTCTCCAAGCACTTCATTATTTATAATGTTTTTTTTTTACTGTCACAAGTTCTCCCGAAAAAAGAAAAGAAAGAATGTCCGTTTCATGTGTTTTCGTGTTATTTTGGTACGGGTAAATCGCAAATTTAGTAACTTAATTTTACTCTCACTTATTTCACTCACTACACTTTAAATATATTTTAATTTTTTCAATAAACTTAGTACATTTGTTTTTTTGGTCACTCAGTCGTTTTCTCACTAACGGCGTTATAAATGAGTTTTCATATAGATGCAAAATGACGTCGTTTCGATAAAAGTTTTGTTTATTTAAAACGGAATCGTTTTAACGCTGTTAACTATTTAATATTGGAGTGATTAAAAAAACCCAATGTATTAAATTCAATGAGAAAATTGAAAACTGTTAAAGTTTAGCGAGCAAAATAGGAGAGAGAGTAAAGTTTAGTGATGAAATTTGTAATTTACTCTTTTGGTATTCATGGTATTAAATAGATAGACATATTTGTTTTGTACCATATTGTATTTAGGTTGTTTTCAGATTTTGTCGGTGTTTAAATAATTTTTATCATTAATCTCAATTTATTTTATCTTATATAATTTATCATAACTATTTTATTTTAACATAATTTTTAATATGCTTATTACATCATTATATATAGCGTTAAAATAAAGCTAGAAAACAATATATTTAATACTTTAATTTAAAATTAATTTCATTACGTTAAATAGGACGATAACAGTATTTATAAGCCGAACACTTTTTGAATTCTCATGTATAATAAAATTTTGGCCTTTGTAAATAAAATAAAATGTAATTTTTTTGAACAAATTTTATTTACAGAAAAAAGTTATTCATAAATAAATATTAAATTCATAATTTAAAGAAAAAACGAGATATCAACTAAGAGTTTTTAACAATTTATTTTAAAAATTATTGACAAAATATTAAGCTCTTTAATTTTTTTTATTTTATTATTACGAAAATATGTTACATTTCAGGTTTAATTACAAAAAGGATAAGCTTAATAGGTAAGGAATCGGTCGACTGCGGTCGTCAAACATAAAGTATCTTCAATGTAATCTCGCGATCAACTCGCCGACAAGTTCTCAATAGACAGAAATGGATGGCAAATATGTAATTAGAATGAAGAGAAGGTACAGCCTCTCATTTTGAAAATCTTATTACCAACTATAATTGGATTAATATAACTAATTTTTTAATATATTTTTCTATTAAAAAAACTAATTGATATTTGAAATTGTTTTCGGCATTTGTTATTTATTTCTTAATTGGTACTTCAATTTTGTTTTCATCATTTGTGGATGCCTTTACTTATAACAATTCATTTGGACGTAATTTACTAAACAATTTCAAACTTGGTCTAAATTATTAATTTTTCACCATTTTTCCTTAAATAATTAAAAGTTTATGCAATATTCAAAAGAATCTAATCTTCTTTATTAAAATTTATTGATCTTGATATTTTTGATAAATTTAGAGTGAATATAAGATAATATCTCGTTTATTATAGGCTTAATCCGTTTTTTTCATATTAATATATTTAATATTTAATTTTATTTTTTAATTTGTCGAATGATTTCAATTTGAAATTTTTGCGTTTCACACTTTGATCAATTAAGTCATCTATCAACATCTTCACTTAACCAAACGTTCGAATGTTTTTCTTCTTCTTAATTTTACTCTAATGTTCAGATAACTTTTACTATTTTAAACATACTTGGAACTATAAATATCATGCAACTTATACCTTCATAAATTTTCTAACACAACATATTCTTCTACTTTAGCCCGAGTATTTGTTAAATCTTAAAACATTCGTATTTAGTACATTTCTGAAGTAAATTAAATTCTCAATCTTATTTCGACCTTCATCCACCATTTGTCTATCATTATTGATGAGTGTTTTATATTGTTGATTTATTGTTATTTACTCTTTATTTTTCGATTGGATATTAATGATTTATATCTATTTTGGGTATATTTTGGATATGAGTTTTATTGGATTAATTAGGTTAAAAAGTAGCAGATTTCAATGGTCTAGTCAGCATCTTGATTATTTAACTAGAATTTACCTGGCATAAGGATATACATAAGATGAAGCAGAATTCAACCACAAGTACAAAACTTAAATATTTATTTTTATCTTTTGTGATAAATCTTTTAGATTTAGGATTTTTAGTTTAATTATTTTATTTAGGAATTAGTTATTTTATAACAACTTGGCAAGATTTTTAGTTTGATTAGGAATTAGTCATTTTATTTACTTAGAACTTTTTGGTTATAAATGTCATTAGGTTCAACATTTGAACTAAGATTGAAATATATATTCCCTTGGCTATTTATTGAAATTTTACTTTTCTTTCATTATTTTCTTTTTACAATGCTAAGCATGATCCAATTTATGCTTAACTAAATCTCTCTTAGCCGATAGCTAAGCAATTACTAAATCTGTTTTGTGAATCAAGATCGGGTTCGATTCTCATTGAGACACATAATCCAAGCACGGGCTTTTCCAGCATTAAAGAAGATATTGGCGTTAACATTTATAGTCTATGTTAAATCCAAACAAGAATTAAATTCCAAGGGTTGATTTTGGAAATTAGTTCACAGGAGTGAATAACAAGTTACAAGGGTTGTGCCATATAGAGTGTAACCGGCAAGAATCAAGAAGTATAATCTATTTCAAGGATCAAGACGAGTCGAGTTTAAGCGAAACTAGATGCTATCACCTATCATTAACTCTTTCAACTATTTATTTTTATTGCTTTGTTATTTTTATTTAATTTTAGATTATTCAATTAAATTCAATAAATTCCATTTTATTTTATTTTGCAAATTTTTTGGTTAGATATCAAATCAAATTTTATTGGAAATTCTTTAGTCCCTGTGGATCGATCCTATTTCTCTATATTATTCTATTTATTTTATTTTATTTATTTAAATTGAGAATTATATTTATTTATTTGAAAATTACGACGCTGATCAATTATTATATATTTTTATAAACAAAATGAAATAAAAATATTGTTATGTAACAATTTTAACAAGGCAACTTCAATTACTAAACCACTTGTCCAAAACTTGATTGACTTACCGTCTGCTCTTCATGTTCTGACACGATTTTCTTAGAAACAAGGGAAAAGACAGTTGACAGAGAAAAGTTTTTCACAGCTTAATTTACTTTGGTTTATGATGAATCTTCCTGTGTGTTTGCAGTACCAAAGGCATTTGATGATAAGAAGAAAAAGGATAAGAAAAAAGAATGAAAATGGGTAATTAGGAGGCAGTGCAAGCATAGCTGACAGCATAAATGAGCCACATCTGGTTCATTTGTGCTCTCTGTTCCGCTTGCTCTGTTCCCGGTTCTTCCACTTTTTCCTTATCCTTCCTCTTCCTATCAATCAATAGTTTCACTGAGCGAACAGAGTTCAAAGATGAAATTGAGTTTCTCACAAAACAAACCAAAGAAATCAGTATATAAGAAAAATGCAAGTTTCACCTGTCAAGAAGCTTCAAGTATTTTGTAGCTGTAAGTCAGTTGTGCCAATAAACATTTGTTGCTGTTGATTAATTTATTAATTAGCGTCGATCAGGACTTAAACATGTTTTTATTTTTAACAAACATTGACCAGTACTCGATATACACGATTTGTTTCCCAGGCTATTTATACCTTGGGTGTAATTTTATCCAAGTCTTTGAAGGTTACAACATCTTGTAATCCCTTGATTCTATGCTCTTGGATGCATGGGGGATATAACACCCTTATGTTTTGTAGGGATATGGCTGTAAAATGATCCAGAGCATGTGGGTATTGTTGTCATTGCAATAGTGGTCGATAAGATTATGCAACAACTTCTCTAAATTCAATTGTTGTATCTTTTTATTTTAATAATTATCTTTATTTATATTATCTTTTTATATTCTCGAGTTGAGGGGTTGAAACACGTATTCCATGTGATCCCTCCTTGATTATCTTGTGAGAAAGGGACCTCATCCTCTTGAGCATTCACGGCAACACCACGTTCTTATCGACATCTTTATTCAACATTAGAGGCTCCTTAATCTTCTTCCTCTCTACTTCCACCACCTTACTATTGAAAGATTACAACTCTTGAAAGATTTTCTGAACTAATTCCTGCTGTTGTTGATTCTATAGGGGGACCTCCTAAAAGACTTAAAATTTTGCTTGCAGGTTTCTTAGCTCAGCCTGCAGGTCGTGGACTTGTAGGAGGCTCTGATTATGGGTATACGTGTAATGTTGATAGTATTGTTGGACGGTAGGTTGGGTTGATTGTCTTGGGATGGCTCTCAAAGTATCTGACAATCTCCTAGTAATTGTCATCGAGGTTTATATATTTACTCCCTTCGCATATTTGTCATCATCATGTTCAGGATTCTTAATCTTCATCACATTCTTTGAAGGTAATTTTTGTGGATTTACATAAAATTATATTTTCAAAAATAAGATTACATTTCTAAAATTTTCATTTGCAGAAAAATAACAATTTTTTTTAAAATTAGAAAAATAACAATCTTTAACATTACATTACATACACTAGTAGTTTAAAATCAACCATAAAACAAGGATCATAGTCTTTTGAGATTAAAAAAAATATGTATAAATTAATACTTTCCCACGTATATTAAACATCATAAAGTAATGATATTCTCATCAATTACGTTTCAATAAATCATATTTCATTAAAATCTTACGAGTGACGTCATAACTAATTTCCCAATTCATAAAATCCCATAGAATCTAATTTTCATTTTTAATTAAAAAAATAGAAACTTGATAGAATATGAATTAGTAAGGTTGGATTGGAACCCAATTTAAGATGTGAAAAATGGGCATTTAGGAACTGGTAGCCTAAGCGTTCCGAACCAAGAAAATCCGATAAACTAAACAACCCGAAAGCAAAATTTAAAAGGGTAAAGTACATTAAAGGCTATTGAACTATGTTCAAATAATCATTTTATCTATAAAATTTTTTAAAGTTATAAAATGGTCATTAAATTTTGAAAGTTACAAAATAACCATTAAAATTTTTGAATGATTGCAAAATCATCATTAAATTATAGACAACTAGTATATAATGATTATTAAATTTTATCAAATTGTTATAAAATGGTCACTAAATTTATCAAACTTTTACAATGTCTTCACATGGCGTTCATTGACATTGAGAATGCGTATGATAGCGTTCCCTGCGATACGATATGGAAGACCTTGGAAACGAGATGGATCCTAACTGCTTATATCCGGGTGATTCGTGATATGTACTGTAGATATACTATATACGTCAGGACTACAGTTGGCGACACCGAGGCATTCCTGATGGAAATCGGACTCCACCAGGGGTCGACTCTTAGCCCTTACATATTTGTCTTGATTATGGATGACATCTATTGTACGACACCAGACAGTGTTCCATGGTGTATGCTTTTCGCTGACGACATTGTCCTAGTTGCTGAAATAAAAAAATGACCTGAATAGTATACTGGCTACCTGGAAGACTGCTTTGGAAGAAAAAGGTCTAAGGATCAATATTGAAAAGACAGAGTATTTATGTTCAAACTTCAGTGGGAACCAAAATGATGAAGATGTAGAATTATGCATAGAAGGACACGTTATCCCCTCAAAGGATTGTTTCAAGTACCTGGGTCTTTGATTCATAAAGGTGAGAGTGTAGATGATGACGTTACACACCGTATAAAGGTGGGTTGGCTAAAGTGGAGGGATGCTACTAGAGTTTTGTGTGACAAGAAGATGCCTCTAAAACTTAAGGGAAAATTTTATAGAATGGCAATAACACCAGCGCTGTTGTATGGATCAGAATGTTGACTAATCAAGAAGGATCACGTAAGGAGGATGGAGGCCGCAGAAATAAGAATGCTTCGATGGGCATGTGGTAGGACTATGTGGGACATAACACCAAACTCTGCTATTAGGATGCCCTTGGGGGTGGTGCATGTATCCGAAAAATTGAGAGAGGGAAGACTACGGTGGTTTGGGCATGTCCTTAGGCGACAACCGTCAGATGCGGTCATGAGGGTAAAGTCGATCACAGCTGATGGTGCCAGAAGGAGAGGACGTCCAAGGAGGAAGTGTGAAGACTACTTGAGATCTGATTTAAAGGATTTAGCCCTTACCGAGGACATTAGCTCTGATAGAAAAGTATGGAGACTTAATCTAGGGTAGCCGAGTAGTGCGGGTCACAACCATAGGGAGTAACATCACTGTCTTCCTTTTAAATGCCTTTGTAGTAATTTCCATGACTTTTACTTTTTATGCGTTTCTGTCATTGGAATTTATGAAGGCTTAGAACTAGGGTAACAGAGTAGTGTTGCCTTAGTTTAGGTTTTAACCCATTTGGCATTATTCATTCTCGTGGCTTGCTATCATTGACTTCTGTGTTTCCTTCTCTTCATGTTTCCTATTTTTAATTTTAGTCGGGTCTTACCTTTTTGTCTATGTGCATAGATTTTTACGCATGGATTTATTTGCAGGCATTACTTCCCATTAAAGACACGCATATGAAGATTGCATATAAACACTGTTCAACTATGTATTTATTTATTTATATATACATGCATTGTATTTTATCTTTATTTTTAATTTTCTGACTGTCGGGAGGTCTTCCACGGAAGCTGCTCTCAACTTGGCATTGGGGGCAGCCTACTACCCTACCTCCCCCTTATCTCATTGCATATGGGAATAGGGTTTTGTTGTTGTTGTAGTATAACATTATAATAATCGTTTTTTAATAGTTTGAAAAATGTAATGACCAATTTATATTTTTTATAAATTAAATGGTCAAAACTATCATCTTAGAATAGTTGAATGACTTCTATTGTACTTTACCCAATTTAGGAAAAAACTGAACAAAGCGTGATTATTAAGCAGCGTTTGCCTTCTTTGAGAAGTTGTCCAACCCTTATATTCACTACCTCACACCTTTTCTTTTTCTTTTTCTTTTTCTTTTTCATCTTTATTTCCCCTTTATTGTTTTCTTCCTGGTGGATTTGCATCCCTTTATCAAAGTAAAACCAACCAGGTACGAGTGCGCGGTTATTTTGTTTGAAATTTTTATTAAGCGGTGAAGTATTACATTTTTTTAAGGTAAATATTAAGATTTGAAATTTATACAAAATAAAATAATTTAGGGGTTGTTTGTTTGGCTCTTAATAAAATCATTCAACGCTGAATGCTGAACCGTTCAACATTCAGTGTGTTTGTTTTTCTCTCTGAATGATTCAATGTTGACTGATTCAGTAAAACAGTGCTGAATGATTCAACATTAAAGTAAATTCTGAATTATTTAAAGTTATTATCAAACAACATGTCACATTCAGAGCTAATTCATACATAGTCTCTAAATCATTCATCATTTGAATCATTCAATGTTTAATCATTATGAAATAAATAAAAAATCCCTTAAACATATTCGACTGATTAGTAAATTTCATTTTATTTAATTTTGTAAATTTCTAGATTATTTGGGGTAGTTTATTGTTTAAAGAACTCATATGAGATGCGCAGAGTGATGTACATATCTATATGTAATAACAAAACCTAGAATACCAACCAACTATAATTGCTAATAGGATTTAATTTGCCATTACTCATGATTTGACATTTTCCTAACATTTTCTTGGTGGGATCCACGATGCTTCGTGTTACCAAAAGTCTCGGTCTTTCTTTAAAAAAGAGAACTTACTTTCTACGTTTCAAATTGAATAACTAATAGGTTTTTGGAAAAAAGGAACATGTTGGCAACTAAGCCTTTGTCGTTTTTCGTTTTGGGTAAAATATACAAATGGTCCCTGATTACATGACAATGTTTTGTTCAATTTCTTAATTATTAAAATTTACAAAAATATCATTCGATTATATAGATTGATTTGTTGAGTAACCGACTATTAAAGTTATAAAATGGTCACTTGACAAAGCATATATTTCAAACTTGTTATATTCTGTTAAAAATTTATGTTTATCTGAGTTAGACGTTAACTTACTAATTAGGATATAATAAAAATTTAATCTTAAAATTTCAAACGACTATACAATTCAAAATGTTTTGAGAATAAATTTTATCATATCTCAATCAGTATATTAATGTCTAGAACAAGATGTCATTTTTTTTAATGAAATTGATGATTTTGAAACATATAAATAATTGAATGATCATTTTATAACTTCTAATAGTAGAAAAACTCAATAAATCAACATTCTATAATTAAAGATCATTTTATAATTTTTAGTAATCGAAAGACTCAAAAAAAATATTACTATACAATCAAGAGACAATTTATATACTTTGTATTTTTTTATAATGAGTAGAAATGACTAATGAAACAACGTGCGACGCAGCCGGGTTGCCCTCCGTGGTCGTGCGATAATACAGCAAAACGCTTGCGAGATCGCGCGAATATATTAATTAGTATGCTATAAAACGGGAGGAAAATCAACTGGAATACACAAAAACACATCCAAATGACGAAACGCACGTCTGTGGGTAAGAGGACGAAATATAATCGTTCCTTTACCTTTTCAAAACCGCTCCATCTCATCGCTCGCGCGATGCCCAACCAGGTACTTTTTTTTTTTAATAAAAAAACATTTTACGTTATTTATGCTATTTATATTGTATCCATGAAAAATAATATATTACAAGCATCCCCTATTAAAATTTTAAATTTTAATTCTTTAAAAACTAACTTATGTTATTTTATATCTACATTTTTAAAATTTCTTCTCAAGTTAGACGATTTCTGTACACCACCAAAATAAATCAATTTTAAATATAAATTTATGGGTTTCTTTTTATCAGGACTATATTCAATGTATTCAAAATCAGAAATATGGTTAGGACAGACAAAAATATTTATAATAACATTATCACAGAAAACTAATAAAATACTCTTTTATTAAAATTGTTCTTATTTTCTGATAGTTAAAATTTTTAGACTTTGATTATAATTATTTTAAATATCTTAAATAATTGTATTTTATTAGAAAGTATATGTAAAAATTATCAGACAGAAGATTTTTAAAATATGTTTTTTATCATTAATAATTCTAAATAATAAAATTTGAAGTTATTTCTTTTGAAAAAATAATTAATAAAGAATAATTTTAATGGGGGATAGAGAATATAAATTATTTAGTTTTGATAATAGTGTAAATAGTTATAATAATAAAAGAACTATTAATATTAAACTATTAAAAAGGCGTTTCTAGCTAGATTAAGCTTTAGGCCAACAAAGTATATTACTGTGTAAGTTAGGGTGAGTATTCAATTAAGTTAAAAAAAATTGAGTTATTCTAGTTAACTAATTATATTTTATTACTAAAACTTTATTTGAATTTTTTTGAGTGAGTATATAAAATTTAAGTCGAATCAAATTATTTAAATTTATGTTTAAATTTAATTGTAACTTTTTATAATATCATATTACTATTTAATTCCAATTCAAATAATTTTCAATAACCATATCCAATATAAATATATTTCTTCATATCTTTTCATATGATATATGCATATATCAAACAAACTCGACTCAAAAAAATTTTAAGTTCAAATCTAGTTGAAGATTAATTTTTAAGTTTAAATCGAGTTCCTCGACTTTATATGATATTTGTATATCACATATGTAAAATGTATGTAAAAATATATATGTATTGTATATGTTCATAAAAAATCATTTAAATTGGAAGGCAATAATATTATAATATTATAAAAATTTACAATTAAATTTAAATAGAAACTCAAAAATTTGACTCCGCTATAAAAAAATTTAAGTCGATTTTAAGTTATAAAATATGACTCGTGAATAATTTAATTTTTTTTGACTCAGACTCAACTCAATCAAACATTCATCTCTAGTTGAGATAGTTTTTGTAAAAAAATGGAATCGAATTTAGGAGAAAAATTCTAATTTGACATGGAATTATCATCATAATTTTTCTCTGTATTGTTAGCGCTAATTATTATAATATTTTTTATATAATTTTCAATTATGTTTTTATCTTATGGATTAAAAATATATATACAATAGAATCTATATAAATTAATATTCGATAAATTAATAATTTCTAAAATAATTTTTTTCTTGATTCCAACTTGAGCCCAAAGTCTAAATTAATAATTTTAATAAAATAATAAATAATAATTTTTTCGAAAGATCTTTATATAAATTTATTGTTCCTTTAATATTATTAATTAATAGTTCTATAACATTACAAATATAACTAGGACAAATTAGTAAAATATAATTATATTGTTATTTGCTTCTTTTTAAAATTTAAATCTAGTTGTATTTCATCCCTAACTTTTCTTAATGCTTCCAAAATTTTTAATGTTGTGTTCTCATATGGCAATAAAAAGAGTTGTTATCGCTATGAGTGATCTCTTCCGTGTAATTGGTTACAAAAACATTGTATCATACTCAATTTCATCTTTAATGGTATTTTCAATAACTACAATTTTTTCTAAACTTTAGACCTCTGGATATCATTAAATTAATCAAGATAATATATATCTTTTATTCATAAAGAATATTCGTTGAATTGAAAAAAATCTCTTTATATTAATAAATTATTAATTTATCGATTAATTAATATATCTTTAAAATAATAAAATTACATAGTCCCGATATTATTAATTTATATAGATTTTACTGTATATCGAATCGAGTCAAAACATGATCGAATAGTCACCCCTAAAATTTAGGATAAATTTGAGGCGGTTGGAACATCCTGTAAAATCAAGACTAGTTGAAATAAGAAGAAAGATACTAATTTTTAAATCAGAATCAAAATGATTGAAAATTCAATTAATCCCTTCTCATCCCTACATATTGAGAGATGTTATTTACCCGTGCTTGATGGGTTTTGATCTAATCCGATCTTATAAGATCAATTTTTTCTAAAAAAATCAGATCCAGATTGGATCAGAATTTTTGAAAGATGGGTCGGGTTAGTTTCAATTTTAAGATCAATTTTTTTATTTGACCCGGGATAATAATATAATTTTATATATTTAAAGATAATTGTTATAATACCTCTCTCTATATATATATTCACTTAAGTCTTTATTTTATCGAATAACTTTTTTTCAAATACATGTTTTTACCTCAAAATTTAAATAGTATAAATTTTGTATAAATTTAGATCAAATTTTAAATATAAATGTATACTTCTCAAATCGAATCAATCAGTAACATATTAGACCCATAACCACCCCATACATATTAAGATTCAGCGCTGTATGTATTGTCAACAATAGCAAAACAAAATTTTAAATAATGGAAGTGTTGTGTTATAGCAGAAAAGAAGAAGGTTGAAAAAGCTAAATGGGAGCATTAGGAAGCTAAAATGGGACATGGTAGAAATAAGTGAGGAACAAAAGGAGATCAAAGAGGGGCAAAGACAAGTAAGAGAAAAATTCGAAGCCATCGAATCCCAATACGATCAACTTCGGCAGGAGACTAACCAAATTATGCACCACACCCTCAACACCCAACTCCGTCTTGCTTTGATGTTCCAAATCTTGAAAGCAAGAGAAAACCACGACTACCACAACGCCGCCAAACTCACCTCTGCTCTCCGGTACTAATTCCTTCTCGTTTTATAAACTCATCCTCCTAATATAATATCATACATTCGACCCTGCATGCACGTTCTTCTTAATACTCTGTAATGCTAAATGTAACATTGCCTTGTTTTCATGGTTTCCTTTGTCTATTTTCACAGTGAATTGGTAGCGCAAGACAACCGGCAAAGGAGTGTTTTTCAGAATGAAGGTTGAGGGCGAATTATACTGTTATATGCATTTATCCTTAATTAATCTTAGGTAGTAATAAGAGTGAAGCTGAACTTTCAAATAAGTCCTTATCCTTTTATCTTGCTCTTAAATAAGCCCTTATATCTCATAAAATGTTGATTTTAAGTGCTTGTGTTGAGTATAAATTCAAGGGCTTATTTAAGTACGATTAAAGGTTATGGGGTTTTTTTATTGTCTTATAATGTTTTAGGGTTTATTTGAGTGTAATAGAAGTGAACAAAATGAAAAAAAGTTGAAAAGCTTTTTTTCTTATTATATTAACTCTTAAGGTCAAATCAAATCTTGTATTGTAAACTTTAATTATACACGGTTTGCATGTTTGATGCAATAATAATTTATAAATTTATGTATTGTCAGTAAATTAAATGATGCATAAAGAAGAAAATAAAATAAAATAAAACAATTGATGCTTGTCATTTCCCCTGATTCTTATTGGTGCAAATAAATCAGTTTGAATGATAAAGTTATATTTGCGTTCGTTTATTTAAATTTTTAATATTATATTTGTGTTTGTTCATTTAGTGTTTGTAAACATATTCATTTAATATTAGGCAATCACCACTCTCTGTTTATCTTTTTATTTGCAAGGCAAAGAAAAAATATGATATTACTTCATTGTCCTTAAGTTTATTAGACTTCACAATTTGAACTCCAAAACTCATCTTATGTTCAATTTAGTCCATATTTTCACCAATATTTAAAATATAAAAAATAAAAGGAAAATGAGAACTGAGTAAACACGATTATAAATGAACTTATTCGTAAACATAAATGAACCAACACATCTCTATTCGTGTTAGTTCGTTTATTAAATGAATATTGATTCATCCAAAGTCGAACCTTCTTCACTTAATCAACTTCTTAGAAATATTTTTGCAAATTATCTCATTTTTCATTTACAATGTTGGAACGTTCCACTTTTACAATATTGATTCATCCTAACATTGATGGATAAAGGTGATGACTTCTGGATCATTCTTCTTTATCTTCGTCAAAACATTATTTTCTTGTTGTGATGCTGATGTCTTACCTTGATAAGAGTCATAACCATTTTGAGTGATTTTTTTAAAAATTCTTGTGAGTTAAGTAGAGTCTTCAAATGAAGACACCAATTTTCATAGTTGTGTTTTGTAAGACAGAAAAATTAAAATAGAAACATACAATTGCTTATCATCTTCTCTTACTATTGAACTCAACTCCAGTAGTTACCACTTTATTAAGAGGAAGAAGAGAAATACACAATTTGTGGAGAAAAAGCAATGTATTTTTCACTTGTTCGCTTTAAATGTTTTATCACATGCAACACTTTATACAAATGTTATAAATGACTACTAGACTCATTCAAGTACATCCATTCACCTTGGTAATCATGTATGCTAGTACATTATGTAAAATCAATTATGTAAAATTAAAGAATTTTACGCTATGTAAGTAGATCGTAATCATATCTATATATTTATCTATCTATATATCTATCTATATAAATAGATATATCAGTTAAAAGTATGAGACAATTTTCATTTGGTTTCTCATTGATAGTAGCATTCCTTCTCTTAATCTGGATCTCTCTCTCTTTTTATTTCTTGATTTTATCAACTAGGAACTATTTTAAATTTCAAGATTTTGACCGAATTAATAAAATATTTATGACCATTTTATATTTATATTTAGGTGAACTATTTTTATTTTTATTACAAAACTTATCCAATCTATTTTTTGTTAGATGCATAATATGTAACGCATTAAATAATTGTGTTTGTTTAAATAAATATATCTATAACCCATGTGTTTATTCAAAATTTAAAATTAAATATTTAATTTTATTAATCGTGCATTTGATTTTGAAATTTTTTAAATCTAATCCTAATCTTAATCCTACTTAGATGGGAGAGAAAGGAGGATTATAGGGGAAGGAAGAGGAGTGCTCCTAGTGGATCTAGAACTTATAACCTAAGGTAAGGGAACGTGAAAGAATAAAAATGAACAGTTTGATCAACCGACCAAATATGTTTGCTCGAACGTGTGTTAAATGATAAAATCAAGTAAGATTAATTTTATCCTCCGGTAAGATGTTAATATCGGTAATGCAAAAAAGGTAATAACTATATTAGTGGATTATTGGTTTGTATCCAAAATGTTTATATATGTTTGATAATTCTATTCTCATTAAGTGATTGATAATTTATGTTAATTTTGGGAGACGATATTTATCTTTCTATTATATCAATTAGGGTGAAAGTATTTCTAAGACATTAATTACTGATGACACAAAAATATTTTTTTTAATATGTTATATAATTGTCATTATCAACCGTCTATTATGCAAGAGTCCTCTTTGTTATTATCAAAATCTGAATTTGGATCAAGGTAACATTCAACATCCTCAAGGCAAGAAAAATGAAGAATTCAACAAAGGTGCAAAACTCACTCATGCCCATTCTCTACCTGTTTTAGTGATTAGTGAGTGGGCTATAAACAAGCACAACAACAACATTAACAATAATTAATAATGCCTTTTCTTTATGTAAAAAACAACATAAGCCAAAATCTTTGCACTTAGATGTACATGTGAAGATGTTTAGGGCATAAATCATACAAATGTTCAACTCTTACCTCAATAAACTTGTATGAACCCTCCCCTTCCTTTAGCAGCTCATGAATATCAGGTGTTTTTACCACAAGTCTCGCACAATTCAAATAATTGGACTTTGCTATGATTAGTGGTTCCACCTGGAATTCTTGTTTCAACCTCTTTGCCAAAATAATCTCTTCTTTCTCATTTGGAAATCCTTCCAATTTCACAACCTTCAGATCTTTTAATCTTGGAACACTTGCCACTTCTACTGAATAGTCAGTCATTGTGTTTGTCCTTCTATAGCTTTTAGGATCAATCTATAAGGACCAAATTGTTGGAATGGTTAAACTCTGAGTGATTAATGAGAAATGATTATTTAATTATGAAAAGGGTGATATAGTATCAAGCATGGACATATACATGATTTTATGTTAAAGGGGAAAACATAATATCAATAGAAATACAAAGAAACAATTTAAATTATACGAGAATTTGAAATTTTCAGGGAGATATATCCCCACCAGCCCTCTCGATCCAGTCATACTATCAAGAATGACAAATAACGAAGGAAGAAAAGAAAACAACTCACTGTGATATAAAGTCTGGTCAACCGAGGGCAGTGCTTCAAAAAGGAGATTAAGGCATCACTATTGAATTTATTCTTTGCATAATCAATCCACCAAAGCTCTACCAGGCGTTTGAATTCGAAGCCCCAGCCAAAGGGATGTAATTGTAGCGTAGGATAGATCAGTGGCTAAATTCAGAGAGAAAACGAACGAATTTAAGCTAGATGACATAAAAATTGGAATAAACTACCCTAAAACAAACAACATTTCAGCTGAAACATACCTCAAAAATCCAGCCGCAAAGTGTGAGAGATTTTACATCTTTGTAGCTGCGAAAGAATGACCGGAACCCACAACTTCCAAGGTTGCTACAATGAGGGCCTTGCCTGAAATCAAACATGGCATCCACTAGGTCAAAGTCAGCAGGCCAAGGCCAAAACCAATCTGTGCTACCATAACCTCGCTGAAACGACAACAATTTGCCTCGAAATCGAAGCGATTGCAAGCTGTAAGCATCGAGATTGAGAGATTCTAGTTGTTGGCAATCCAGGATTGTTAGTTTTTTAAGCCTTGAATTACCAGCGGCATCTAGTGTTAAAGATCGTAAGCCATGGAAATTTTCTATCGTCAAACTCTCAAGAAACTTGAAATCGGTCATCATGGAAGAAACTGCCCCACTGAATGTGCAGGAGACTGATTTCAGATGCAGGGATTTTACCGTAATCGAAAAAGATGATGGTTTATTAAAAAACAAGGTGTTGTAGCTGGGACCATCAATATCCAGGAACCAATCAAACCGCCATGGCAATTCATGCTTCACGTTGGAGAAATCAAGCTGAAGTGCTGTATCAGGCTCAGCAGCCACTGTGATGAAACTACGTTTTCCCAAATTGAATATGAATCCCCAATTACTCGTCGGTTTCTGCTCCGAGTATCGATCGCAACGGCCATGGAGAAAGCTTGAAATTGCAGAAAAAGCTTCGTCTATGGTTCCTTTTCGTTCTGGAAAGTTTCTCTTCCAAACATCTTTCCATCGGGTCGAAAGGAAACTGGTTTGAACAGCGGATTTGAAAGGGAGAAACGATATGACATGGCTGAGAATATCATCGTGCATGCTACTAATAATATCTTCATTTCTTGGTAATTCAAAGTCCAGTTTTCTGTAAACAAAAAGTCTGGAATATTTATCTTATTCTCACAAGAATTGAATTTATTTCTTTTACTGTAGAATTTATAAGAAAAAGATGTAAAGCACTTACTTGGGAACATCTAAAATGGCTATAGACCATCTGCATCCAGGATTTGAATCAATTTTCAGCTTTTCCGATTGATTTCTTTTGTTCCTACTCTTCTTTCCCATGGATTTTTGCTCTTCAGCCTATTATTTATTTTCGGGAAAGATACCACTTGCCTTAAAACCTATAAATATACATGAGTGGCAGTAACTTAGAACTTTCGGGGCAATTTCTTACCTATGATATAAATTTTAAAAGACTAATAGAATTGCAGGGAGCTTTACTTATTTAATTCGATACACGCATTGGACCTTGACTTTATCTAAAAGAAACACTTCTAAAAGTAATCGGCAGGTAAGAATATATTTAATTTTAAATTTAAATTTGTTGGTAAGGGTGGTGGATTCAGAAATATTTTTAAAGAATTATACATATATGTTAACAATACAAAATTTTTAAATAAGATATACATCATCAATAAAATAAATAATTATTCGAATAAAATTCAAATTTCAATGTGACACGCTAAGTTGTGACTTCGCCACTTGTTGTTAGTAATTTACAGGTTGAAAAATAATTAAAGTGATATCAAAGTTGAACAACCAACATAAGAGACAAGATTTAATTTGATTTAGCTTTGTCTATCTCTACATATAAGAAACAAATAATCTATATAAAAATAGAGATGGCAAAAAACATATATACATAAAATCTAAAAGTTGTAGAGTATGTTGTAGAGACCATGAAAATAATTACATCTTTTCAAAATAATTATTTTTATAATTCTAAATGTTAAAACTTAATTTATATTTATAAAGGAAGCGTATTGGTTGCCAATAATTTTTACTTAAAAACAGTTAGTAAATATCAACCTTTAAAATTATAATGAAATCCAATTTAATTAACAATTAGAATTTGAAGTCATGCGTAATAATTTTTCCATTGACACAAATTGCATCATAAATTGACTTTTAAGTCTTTTAACAGTTTCAATTTTTACGTAAGTTGAATATCCGTTGAAGCACTAGTGCAAAGTTTGTTACAACTTTAACTCTTATGTAATATCGTTTAAAGCATTATTAGATCGATTGAGGATTAATCCACCCACGACTGGAAACTCATTTCTTCAAAACTCATCTTTCATGTCTCTAATACTGCTAACAAAGTCTACGTCAATAAATTCCTTCAGAATTGAACAGCTGGAACCATGACTGTTAGGGGAGTGCATAAAAATTCGATTGAATTGATCTAATCCAAAAATTCAGATATCTAATCTTTTTTTTATTTTCGGATCATTTGAATCAAATATTTGAGAAAATTCAGAAAATCGGTTCGGATATAGATAGAATAAATTTCAATTTCGCATTATCCGGAAATCTAAAAAAATTGGATTTTTAGACTTTAGATAACATTTGGCCCAATAAATGGGTAACATACTAACCCATTAAAGCTCTAGCTCAATAAAAATTAGGATATTTAATTATTTATTGTGTGAGTAATAAAATATATACACATATATAATATAGTAGAGATATCAAATAAGTTACATTAAGTCACAAAATTTAAAATTAATTTTTTTGTCAAATTAAATTTTATATTTGGATATCCAAATTTTCAGATCGGATTCGATATCCAAATTTACACACCCCCGATGAATGTGATACTACTTGTTAAGAATTTATAAGCGAAAAATAGTCAATATGATATCAACATAGAATAAGACACATGCAAGAGAGAAGATTTATTATTGTTCGATCTTGTCTATCTCCATAGACGAGAGAAACAAAAAAATCTATTATAAACGTAGATATCACAAAAGGCACAAATACATGAAATTCTCTTACACTTAAAACTCGATATATATCGTAAAACGTGATGTATCTCAAAACACTTTTTCAACATTCTTAGAAAACTCATTTATACAATACAAATCCTAAAGTTATAGAGATCATGAAAATGATTGCATCTCTTGTGACGAAAGGGATGAAACTAAAGTTGAAGCGTTGGTCGGTTAAAAGGGAGTCAAATAGGTTCTCCAGTGTGGTAGTTGACGTTGCTAGGTAAACGGTTAACGTGCCACATAAGCTTTCGTCACTCACGTTAACGACTGTTAATGTTGAGTGACTGATTTATTATAAATCGATAATGTTAATAATCAAATCGTTAGTTTTAAAACTTCATTGGAGAAAACTAAAACTTACTCAAATATTAATGATTGTTTGTGTAGTTTATTTTTATTAATCTGTGATGAATATACGGTTGTATCTATTTAAATAATCTCAACCATTTGATATTAAATGCATTTTGTTTGTATAGTTTACTTTTTTTTACATGTGTAGTTTGCCCTTTATAGTATCAAAGGATATCCATATATGAAATTACCCCGAGTTTGCAACATATATATTCTTTTGCCTAAGTTTTAATTTCAGTTTACATGTATCAGCCTCAGCTCCTTTGAAGCTACTTGGGCCAGACATTGTGTCAACAAAATTTCATCTTCTTTACCCAACACACCTTTCAATTTAACCACATTCAGATGTTCCCAAGTTGTAGCGTTGGCTACTCGGTTCGAATACTCCTTCCAGAAGCTACATATTCCTCCCTCGCTTGGACCGCAATAATTTCTAGGATCTACCTGCAAAATCACAGTACCCAATTATTAGTCCTAAATTTACAAATGTTTTCCACCAACTGTAGTAAGACTCTTTAAATTAATGAGTAGCTGCTCCAGAAAAGGGCTTATCCTTAGAACAGAAATTAAGGTAGCTATGCTTTGATTTCCCATTGTGCTATCAATCCAACACAACTCCTTTAAATTGTTGAAGGCAAAGTCATTTCTCGCGCAAATGGCTCCAGCTGATGGTAGCCACTTAGGAATTGGTACCTGAGGAACAAAATCCAAGTATCATCAACCCCTGTTCCAACGAATTTGATCCAACAATCCAATGCATGTGTACCTTGAAAAGCCAGGCAGAGACTGTCAGAGCCTTGACATGTTTGAAATCCATTAGAAGAAGGTTTTCACATGCAAATGGACTGTAGCCTGGACCATGTCTGAAATCAAGAATAACAGTCTCCATGTTTGGAGAATATTTTACAGAAAACCAAGGAAGTTGTCCCTGAAACACCACCTTCCTGAGGTTATACGCGAAAACATATATTTCATTCAACTGTAAACAATCCAATATCGTCAAGGTCTGGAATCTGGAACCAGATTCAATGTTCAGTGATTGTAATCCCTTGCATTCAGAAATCTGCAAACTTTCAAGGAACTGGGCTTTGAAATAACAGATGAAACTGTTGGAAGTCAAAAGTTGGGCTGTAAATCAAGTCAAATTTGGAGGATGAAGGCTGGAAATCAAAGCTGGAAATTAAACAAAGGGGGACATCGCACAGCCTAATGTTTTTCAACATAAGGGGTTGAAAATAAGAAAAAGGTATCATATTTTCAACAAAGGGGGCACCATTCGGTGTCCCAATTTTTTTAATTAAATTGTAATAGGATTAATTACACATTTAGTCATTGCACGCTTTAGGGTATTTACAAGATTAGTTCTCAAGCTTCAACTATAAATACTTTAGTCCATTTAGCTTCAATATCATCCAAAAATCTTCTAGTTCTCTCTCAAGTGTGTTTTGTAAACACCTGTAAATTTTCTCTTTAGTAAAAGATCTGCAGCAGTCCGAAGACGTAGGCAAAATTGGTTGAACTCCGTTATCAATTTCGGGTATTATTTTTTTGCTTTTATTTCGCATTCTCACTAATCTGGTTATAGGGAAATTACTCGTTACTCGGTTTATTTCCTAACAACTGGTAATAAGAGCTTTTGGTTGTGAATTTTGTCAATTTTTTGTGAGGTTACTATTCATTACTATTCACATGAATAGTAAAAATTTTGTCGGCGATACGAATTTGTTGATGGAGGTGTTCTAATACACGGTGGTTCGAAAGAATTGTCGGAAAGGATCCAAACGAAGCCAGATTCGAGTGGGAGCAATGGCTATAGACGAAGGGAATGTGAAAATTGAAAAGTTCGATGGTACGGACTTTGGCTTTTGGAAGATGCAAATTGAAGATTTTCTGTACCAGAAAAATCTAAATCAACCCCTCTTAGGAAAACAACCAGAGGGTATAAAGAATGAAGACTGAGCTCTTCTCGACAAACAAGCCCTCGGAGTTATCCGACTAACGTTATCCTGCAATGTTGCTTTCAACATAGCAAAGGAAAAGAACATGGCGGGTCTTATGGCGGCTCTCTCCAATATGTATGAGAAGCCATCGGCCTCAAACAAAGTTCATTTGATGAGGCGATTATTCAATTTGCGGATGGCGGAAGGGGCATCAGTGGCTCAACACCTAAATGAACTCAACACAATCACAACCCAGTTGAGTTCCGTGGAAATTGAATTCGATGATGAAGTTCGAGCTTTAATTCTCTTATCATCTCTATAGACAGTTGGAATGCTACTGTTACAGCAGTCAGCAGCTCGTCGGGACACAACAAATTAAAATTCGACGATGTTCGGGATCTGGTATTGAGTGAAGAAATTCGACGAAGAGAATCGGGTGAAGCATCAACCTCCTCAGCCTTGCACACGGAGTCTAGAAGGAGAACTTCAAAGAGAAATTCAAATCGTGGCAGATCTAAATCCAGAAGGGGAAAATCAAGAACAGGAAAGAAAGATTATACATGTTATAATTGTGGCAAGAATGGTCACTTTAAAAGAGATTGTCGAGCACTGAAGAAAGATACCGGCGCACAGGATTCTGCCAACGTGACAGAGGAGACAGGTGATGCCATGATTCTAAGTGTCAACAGTCCAATTGAATCATGGATCTTGGATTCAGGGGCATCTTTCCACTCCACCCCATGCCGAGAAATCATGGAGAACTATGTCAGTGGTGATTTTGGGAAGGTTCATCTAGCTGATGATGAAACCTTGAAGATCGTCGGAAGAGGAGACATCCGACTAAAGTTGCCAAACCAGACTACCTGGACGCTGAAAGGTGTGAGATATATTCCTGGTCTCAAAAGAAATTTGATTTCTGTTGGACACCTTGATGGAGAATGATATAACACAACCTTTTCAGGTTATGAATAGAAGATTACTAAAGGAGCACTCATCATTGCTTGTGGTAAGAAGACTGATACTCTCTATGTAACCTCAAATTTATAGAATATCATTGCAGTAGCAGATGCTGATGGAAAATCAAACCTATGGCACCAAAGGCTTGGCCATATGAGCGAGAAAGGGATGAAAACACTTTTGTCAAAAGGGAAGTTGTCGGATCTAAAGAATGTAGATATCGGACTGTGTGAGGATTGCATCTTTGACAAACAAAAGAAAGTCAGCTTTGAAAAGATTGGTAAGACAACCAAGGCTGAAAAGTTAGAGTTGGTTCATACTGATGTATGAGGACCAACTCCAGTTCCATCTTTTGCAGGCTCATTATATTATGTCACCTTTATTGATGATTCAACAAGGAAGGTGTGGGTTTATTTTCTGAAGAAGAAATCAGAAGTCTTTGATACCTTTAGAAAATGGAAGGCCATGGTGGAAAATGAGACTGGTCTGAAAGTCAAGCAGTTGAGGCCTGACAATGGAGGAGAGTATAGAAATAGGAGATTCAGAGATTTCTGCGCAAACAATGGGATCAAGATGGAGACAACAGTTCCCATGACACCGCAGCAGAATGCCGTAGCAGAGCGCATGAACAGAACACTGAATGAACGTGCCAGAAGCATGAGGATACATGCCGGATTGCCCAAATTTCTATGGGATGAAGCTATCAACACTGCAACTTACCTGATCAACCGTGGGCCCTTAGTTCATTTGGATGGCAGAATACCAGAGAAAGTTTGGAGCAAGAAAGAAATAAACCTTTCACACTTAAGAGTGTTTGGTTGTATTTCTTATGTACACATAGATTCTACTGAAAGAAATAAACTTGATGCCAAGTCCAACAAATACATATTTGTTGGTTATGGTGGTGATGAGTTCGGTTACCGGTTCTGGGACTATGAAAATCGAAAGATCATCAGAAGCATAAATATTACTTTCAATGAGAATGTGATGTATAAAGACAGGTCAAATGTAGAATCAAGTAGCTCCAATATCGAAGCTGAAACAAAGGAATTTTTTGAGTTCAAGGAGATTTCTGGAAATGATGTTCAGATCAATCCTGAAGCAGTTCAAGAAGAACCAGGCACACCGGAACTAAGGCGCTCCTCCAGAATTCCTAAACCAACCCAACGTTATTCGCTTTCTTTGCACTACTTGTTGCTGACCGACAATGGTGAACCAGAGTGCTATGATGAAGCAATGCAGGTGGAGGATTCAGTCAAGTGGGAGTCTTCCATGAAAGATGAGATGGACTCGCTTATGTCAAATCAGACGTGGGAATTAGCTGAATTACAACCAGGCAAGAAAGCGCTCCACAACAAGTGGATTTACAGGATTAAAGAAGAGCACGATGGGAGCAAACGCTACAAAGCAAGATTGGTTGTCAAAGGCTTTCAGCAAAAAGAAGGTATTGACTACAATGAAATTTTCTCTCCAGTCGTGAAGTTGTCTACAATCAGACTGGTGTTGAAAATTGTAGCTGCAAAGAATCTACATCTTGAGCAGTTAGATGTGAAGACAACTTTCCTTCATGGTGATTTGGAGGAAGAAATCTATATGAGGCAGCCAGAAGGCTTCATAGAGGCAATCAAGAAAAACCTGGTATGCATGTTAAAGAAGAGCTTGTATGGTTTAAAACAAGCTCCTAGACAGTGGTACAAGAAGTTCGATAGCTTCATGGGTAGCAATGGTTTTACCATATGCCAAGCAGATCATTGTTGCTACATCAAGAGGTTTGACAATAGCTTTATTATTTTATTGTTGTACGTTGATGACATGCTCGTTGCAAGCTCAAACATGCAAGAGATTATACACTTGAAGTAAAAATTGTCGAAGTAGTTTGCTATGAAGGATCTGGGCGCTGCAAAGCAGATTCTTGGGATAAGGATCAAGAGAGACACAAAGTAAGGGACTTTAATGTTATCACAGGCTGAGTACATCAACAAAGTACTCTCCAGGTTCAACATGCAAGATGCTAAACCAGTAAGTACACCTTTAAGTACAGTCACCAAAGACGAAGGAAGAACGTGCACACATGGTGAAGGTGTTGTATGCCTCAGCAATTGGAAGTCTAATGTATGTCATGGTTTGTACTAGACCAGATATTGCTCAAGCAGTGGGAGTTGTTAGCAGGTACATGAATAATACAGGCAAGGTACACTGGGAAGCAGTCAAATGGATCCTCAGATATCTGCGGGGTACCACAAACAAAGCACTTTGTTTCAAAGGTGGAGATACGATACTGACAGGCTATGCAGATGCCGACTTAGCCGGAAATGTTGACATCAGAAGGAGCACTACAGGGTATGTCTATACTCTAGGAGGAACCGCAGTGAGTTGGGTTTCTCAACTACAGAAGATAGTTGCTCTTTCCAGAACTGAAGCAGAATATGTCGCTGTTACGGAATCCAACAAGGAGATGGTTTGGCTCCAAAGTTTCTTGGAAGAGTTAGGCAAGAAACAAGAAAATAATGTATTGTATTGCGACAGTCAAAGTGCTATCCATCTAGCAAAGAATTTGTATTTTCATTCCAGAACGAAGCACATACAACTGTGATATCATTTTATCCGGTATCTTCAAGAAGATGGGATTTTGAAACTTGAAAAGATCAATGGAGCTCAAAATTCGGCAGACATGTTAACAAAGACGGTGACGACGGACAAACTGAAGTTGTGTTCAGCTTCAGTTGGCATGCTAGAGTAACAAGACCAGAAATGCTGCTGCATTGATCAAGGTGTGAAGACAGATTAAAATCAGTCTTCAAGTGGGAGATTGTTGGAAGTCAAAAGTTAGGGCTGTAAATCAAGTCAAATTTGGAGGCTGGAGGCTGGAAATCAAAGCTGGAAATTAAACAAAAGGGGGCACCGCACAGCCTAATGTTTTTCAACATAAGGGGGTTGAAAATAAGAAAAAAGGGGATCACATTTTCAACAAAGGGGGTATCGTTCGATGCCCCAATTTTTTCATTAAATTATAATAGGGTTAATTACACATTTAACCACTGCATACTTTAGGGTATTTACAAGATTAGTCCTCAAGCTTCAACTATAAATACCCTAGCCCATTTAGCTTCAATATCATCCCAAAATCTTCTAGTTCTCTCTCAAGTGTGTTTTGTAAACACCTGTAAATTTTCTCTTTAGTAAAAGATCTGCAGCAGTCCGGAGACGTAGGCAAAATTGGCTGAACTCCGTTATCAATTTCGGGTATTATTTTTCCGCTTTTATTTCACATTCTCACTAATCTGGTTATAGGAAAATTACTCGTTACTCGGTTTATTTCCTAACATAAACTATTTGACTTGTCAGCTTGATCACAGACTTCAAATGAATAATATTTATGCATGATCATCATTTTTTTGTGAGTAGAAAACATGTTATATAATTGATTTATAGATTTTTTAGTACAGAAGTGCGTCTCGCTTACGAAAGGCGCTCCTTCACCTTACGTCCTGCACCTAGGTTTGAGAGACCCTTTGTGCTTCAGTGCGCCTTGCGCCTTTTAAAACTAAAATTGAAAAAGTGAAGGTCGGAAATCACATGCTGCCATTATCCTTGGAAAAAGCTCATCATATTTGTATTTGTTCATCGATAAATCTAGAACATATGCTATAGAGGTTTACGCGACTTTCTCAATATAATTTATTTTATTCACAACATTAAATTTTAAACTTAATCATTTTTAAGGATTTAATCTCATCTCATTGAATCAAATGATCCTTGGTAGCTTACAAATATTATTTAATTACCTTAAGATCCTTTACACGAGCTCCTCGGAATAAAAGGGAATCATTGACGAAGAAAATGTGAGAAGTTGTCGGTGCACCCTTACAAGCTCAAACTCCAATAAGTTTCTCACATTCAGTAACACTATGAAGTATCCCCAACCCCGACAAACCTTCCGAACATAGAGCAAAGAGACACGGCCAAATGGGATCACTTTGCGTTCCGCCTCTTCTTGCTTTGTTTAAATTTAAGATAGGGTAAACTGTATGGATGGTCCTTCATGTTTTCAGTTTGAACAATTTTAGTCATCGGTCAATAGTTTTTATCCCTTACATTGTTGATTCGTTCGATTTTGGTCAATAGTTTAAACAATTTTAGTCATCGGTCATTGAGTTGACAATTACAAAATAAAATTAAAACCACCTAAAGGTATACACGTCAGCCCTAAAAAATGAATAAGAAAAAAAATTCACCAAGCTTTTCCGTAATCCCACTAAACACTCTTTTCTTCATCTTGATTCAACAAATTCCCAAAATTACTATATGCAACATCAGCTTTCAAAGTTATGCCTAAATCAGTGCTTCATTGATGCTCTTACCCAACCATGTTTTCAATGCGTCAGAGGTTTATTTAGACTGTTTATGACAGTCTAACATCTTGAAGCGATGTTACTCAACCATGATCAGCAATCCGTCATTAGTAATATAGATTGCAAAAAGACGATGATGGAAGTTGAGAGGAACAGAAAGATCCTCACAATAGAAAATGACAGTTAATTCCAAGATAAATTCATCACCATTCTTACTCGAACACAGAAAAAATTTTAACGGAAAACGACAGAAAAATTATTAACGGCAATAGTGGAGACGCCAAGTTTTTCGTTCAGATCCGGCAGTTTTTCGCATAGGAGATTTCTATTATTCATGAAAGTTGCTTGGGACGACAGGCTCAGGAGCTTGATCAACTCAATGTTGGCCACTCGAACATCTCTGTTCTCGTTACGCAGTGTTTCAAGCTCTCCCATGAATGCCTGTAGGCGAGAAAAGCTAAGATCGAAGTGGTCACTCAGTTGTTGATACTCAAGGATGAGACGAGCGTGGTTGAGGCGGTGATCGGTGGCAACATTGTCGGACGCATGCTTGAGGTCATCCGAGGAAGAGCAAGAGGAAGGGGTGATGGAAAGGGATTGAGGGAGAGTAAAACTGGGTGAGAAAATGAAGTTATATATCGAATAGAAGTCGTGGTTAGATCTTGGTCGTGATAATACTGAAGTGGAGATGCCGCCGGCGATACATGGTTTCGATTCTCCACCGTGGCGTTTAGATTGAAAGATGGAGATGTTGGTTTCTCCATGATGAACACTTTGAAAATTTGGGGTCCGACAAAGAAACTTAGGAAACTGTTAAATAAAAAATAATGAATTAACAAGCGGTTCGCCTAGAAGAAAGAAAATGTGAGAAATAATAAGGACAAAATAAAGACATGTTTATATGGAGATTTTAGTTTCATAGGTGAGTGGGAGAAAAAAAAGTTTAAAAAGAAACATATTTACAATATAAAGTATTAAAATTATAAGGTCGAAAATATAAGAAACTATTTATATAGTTTATTTTTTAAGATATTAATATTATATATTTATATTATTTTTATGGTGTGATATATATTTATTTATTTTCAAAAATTAAAAATATATATTATCATTAATTAAGCATTATATTTAAGATTTTTAATTTAATTCAATTTTTAAAAAGATACGAATTCAAGAAAAGAAAGGTCAAAGCATGGGAACAATGAGTGTTGAATTACAATTAATTGCAAAATAATAGTATAATTTTTCTTAAATTAAGATTGATCAACATAAATAAAATCCACATTTGAAGACGGAAAATAAGTTCACAATTTCCCAAGGTTGAAAATTTGAAAATTACGTACTACTTTGAAAGTGTCAATCGTGCAGTCGAAGTCGATAATCTCGATACCTAACCCATAACTTCTTCTTCTTCTCAATTCCATAAAAAAATCAAAATAGACAAAGTCAATGGCTAATAAAACATAAAAAATTGTGTATCGAAGATGCTGACCTTTGTTTCTTCTTCAACCTGCAGAATACGGTGAGGAAATTTCTCGATACATGAATGGAAACTAAGCCATCAATTCCAGGGTTCATTGTTTGGTCAAAAAACCTTGTTGGCAAAGTTAGCAACAATTACTAAGAAACATAAAAATTCTATTACTTGTCAAAGCTCGCACCAAAACGTAATTGCTTACAAAGAATCTAACCAGAAACCTTAATTTCTTGCACTGGGACACAGTATAAATACAACACATGTATGTTTGCCCGAAAGCATTTGGATTTTGGACAGGTGCTAGCAAAAGGGTATTATTAAGTGAATCACATTACGATCATAACTTCATGTCTTCCCTTACTAGGAAACATAGATGCCTCAAGCTTAAGGTATATATATGTACGTACATTAAGTATGCTTTGTCTTAATTTCCTTGTTTCTAACTGATAAAACTATTGACAGAGAAAGATTGCAAAGAAAACGATGACAGCAAGATTCAGAAGGTTGAAAAGTGAGATGGAAAAGATAAGCATAGAGCAACAAGTTATCAAGGAAGGGCAAAGGCAAGTTGGAACCAAAATTGAAGAAATAAATGAACAGTGTGAGCAACTGAGACAAGAGACTAAGCAAATCATCCGACAGAGCGTTAACACTCAAATCCGGTTGGCGCTAATGTTCAACATCCTCAAGGCACGAGAAGAAGGCGATTTTGCTAAGACTTGTCAATTAACTCGATTGCTTCGGTGAGTATCGTTGTTTATCATTGTTTGTTGGGATTCCTAAAGAATGGTGAAATTAACGTGAAATTTCCTTTTTCTTTTTTTCAGTGAAATTATGGCTCAGCAATAATATGAAGCATGGAAGTTGCGTTTATCAATTAATGGAGTGAACCAAGGAGGGGCTGGCGGAGGCGGTCGCCTACTAAAAATTTTAAATTCTTAGTGTTTTTACACATATGCAGTCATCTGCTTCTTAATGTTTTTTCTCTTTTCTATTTCTTTAGTATTTTCTCGTCTAATTCTTCAAAAATAACAATGTCAAATGAGTTCTACTTCTTTATTTCTGGTGTATGAAGTATGTAATGTTGTATTAATGAATAGATGTAACCATGTTTTAAATAACGTTCGCAGTTACGTTTTCGGTCGCGTCGCATTTATCACGGTTGCAGACATAATGAATGTTATTGCTGTAACACTCCCAACTCGTACCCGACCCGGATACAAGTCCGAGGTGTCACATTAAATTTTTGAACTTTGACTTCCAAAGAAAATCAAGGAAATTTTGAACTTTCATTACAATAAAAGTTATTGACTTACAAAAGTTTGACCAAAACAACACAAAAACCGATTAGAGCATTCGTAATTAACAAACTGTTTACATGCCAACATACTAAATACAACAAAACACATACTTTGCCAATTACTTCTGATCTGATCTTCTAGTAATGATGCTGTCCTTGCCACTCCTAATTCTAATCTTCTGGTTTCTGGGTACCTACGTGTAAATCACTTACACGTTAAGTCACAGACTTAGTGAGGCATGAACTAAACATTTAACAATACAATCATGAACATGTACTACTATCAATCTCTTATGACATTGCAATGTACATGTATATACTACACTACAACATATATAAATATGATATGCACAATTGAACTTTAATTTCTTATAAGAGTTTTCATTCAATTCTCTTTGAATGCCCATGTATATTATTGAGAACAAGAGGTACGTGAGTACACTGAGGTTGTGCACAATGCTGTCACCACAGCTCAAATAATTTCCACTAGGGGCACTGAATATTTGTCCCGAAGGACCACTGATAATTTCTCGACTCTTGACATGCCAATTATACCTACAACTATAATATCATATTACATGGGCTTAATTATAAGTATCTGTCACATTTCAAATCACTTCTATCTTTCTCATATAACACATCACATGTACAAATATGATTCTTTAATCTTTTCATACATAGCTTAGGATTATCCATTGATGATATCATTCATTACACATATTGTCATATTATAACATGGATGGCTTATGCATGTAATCACTATAACAATATATATATATATATATATATATATATATATATATATGTATGTATGCATGCACATGAATATAAAATCATGAATTCAACAATAAGAGATAGACTTATCGCAAGTCCTATCTCCATACACTCTATCCAGAACGTGCACTCACCTTAGTCTTGCTTGCTTTGATTTTATATTAATTCTTTGATTGTTCCGGAACATGATTACGTTCTATATCTACATAATAATACATTGATACATATCAGTATTCTAATTGATATATTCTAATCTTCCATCTCTTAAACTAAAAGAAATACTACTTTCCTATCTTGTTTAAGGTAGGTATCGGTACACTCTAGAGTGTATCGGTACATCCCTTAATGGGTGTATCGATACACTACCTGTGTATCAGTACCCAAATTACATTCAAAGTTTTCATCTTAAGGGGGAGTATCGATACACTGCCTAGGTATCGGTACCCTTTTGAATATTTCTTGAATTTTACCTTGGATGTATTGGTACCTGTTGAATGTGTACCGATACACACCAGCCCAGAATTTCATTTTAAGCACGGAAATTACCTCAATTCCACTCAAACACTTCATATTTCATTCCTTCACATATTCTTAACTTACCTATTCATACTTAAACTCATTAATACTCCTTTAGCACATCTTTAATCTCAAATTTCTATCATCCATATACAATTCAAGAATTACCCCAACTTTGCAACATATTCAAATTCCAATTCTAACACTTCATATGTCTTAATTCGGTTGATGACAAGTCAAATTTAACTTCCAATTCTAATTAGGAACTATATTCCAAAATTTCATTCAAGAACTCCTAATCTTTATTCCTTCCTACACCCTTCATCTTGTTGTTTTAAGACAAATTAAGCTTTCCTTAAGCTTAATTTCCATCTAATAATCATAAACCAACCTTAAATTTCAGCTAATAAGCAACTAATAAGAATTCTTACCTTTGCTTGGGCTCACGTAAGAAGGAAGAAGAAGAGGAAGAGAACTCTGGAAGCTTGTTTTGCTTCCCTCGCTTCCACATGGTTAATATATAACCATATCCCAATTAAATTATTTACTGACCAATTACCATCTTGTCCTTCAATTCCATCTTTCTTGCAATTAAATACCATACCAAATTTACAATATAAGTCCTTACTCTATTCAATTATTATACTTTAGTCACCAAATTTTAAAGTTTAACAATTTAGTCAATAACCTGGTATAGAGAATGTTACAATTGCGGTCATTGCAGATATCGCGGTTGTGAATTTTTTAAATGTCGTACAACTTACCCTAAAATAACTAAATTAAATATAATTAAAATAAATTGTAAAATTTAAATTACATAAATTTAGATTACTGAAATTAAGACTAAATTAAATAAAAATTTAATTTTACATTTTTAAACTAGGGATTAAATTATAAATTCTAAAAGTGGGAGGGATCTCATATTAATATATCTTTTAAAATTATATTTTAAAAATTCTTAAAAAAATAATAAATCACCCCTCCCCTTCCCCACCTTTATGGTTCTGGCTCCTTCCCCCCTTAATAATTGTCTGAAACAAAAATGTTTTTGACCTTCTTCCTCCTCCCCCATCATTGTCTGAAACAAAAAAAAATGTGCCACCAATGTTTTTGTTTTGGAATCACGGTTAGATAATGGTTGTTGCGTCTCGTTATCGGCGCAATCGTCTGTTTCCTGTTAAATTGCGGGCGCAATCGACGAGATTGGTGTGAATCCGTGACCCACCGTAAAAACCATGAAAACCGGTTTCAGACGGTAGCGCGACCGCAATATCACGTCCGCTATCACGTTTTCGGAACGCTATTTGATACCATGGATGTAACACTCTCATCCGGTCTAGTCGAAAACCGAATCGATGATATTATATTAACCAATTGGATCGATAACTATGACTTTACTAACCCTAATTTAATTTTTGGATAGTTGATTAATCAATATTACGACTTTATTGACTGATCTATAAATATTCTCTGCATGAAGAAAAAAGAGAGATGATTAGTTTTCTAGTATACCAGATAGATTTTCTTCTTTGTACTCTTCTTCTTCATCTCTTTTTCTTAACTTTTCCTCGAAAGTTTCTTAGATTTTCTTGCTCGCCAAACACCATGAGAGCTTGAGAGAGAGTTGTATTATGTCGTGATCCTACTTGATCATAGAACTTGTTTATTTCTTTCATCCCTGTGTTGAACAATTTCATACTTCTATTAATAAATAGCTTGTTTCGAAATTTATTTATCTTTGACTTGTTATTTGTGCGCATTTGTTATATAAATATAGACTTGCAGAATTCAAAAAAAAACATTGAGTGAGGTTTGTGAGCACATGTTATAGTGAGAGCTACGCGATAGATAGTAGAGATCCGAGGATCTTGGTTTGTTTCGATAACGTGAGAAGTTAATCAAATTTAGGGTTATAAAAATATAAGTTAGGTGGGTTATTTGAGTGGGACTCGAGAGAGTAAACTCCTTTTATCTTGTCGAGACATTAGGTAAGTTTATCGATATACGATATTCATTGATAGATTTTATTTAGATCACAATGTGCTGCGTATCCATCTGTTCAATAGTTAGTATTTTATTTTAGTTTCATTAATTTCAATTCCAACCCTCCATTTATATTGTTTTACTTTCATGTTCTTAAATTCAACTTTCAATTTCAACTTATTTATATATTCATTGAAGTTTTATATATAATGAGACTCAAACTTAAGTACTTAATGATCAGAGATTTTAGTATTTGTTAATCATATAGAGAAGTAATTAGTAATTGGAAGCAATTAATATTTTAGTTTTTATAAAACAGGAGGACTAAATTTATATAATAAATCAACTATGTAAAGTATAATAATGAAAATAGTATACTAAAACAACAGTTGTTTTTTCTTATTGGGTTTCGTGCGTTCTCTTCATTTTTTTACTTTTACTTTTTCTCTTTCTCTCTCTCTCTTTCACAAGCTTTCATTCTTATGGTCTTTCCCTTATATTCTTTTCCTTTTCTTTATCAAAATACCGATCGAAAGAAATCTGTTGATGCCACCATCGACGATAGACAAAATCGGCCCTTACATTGTCTTTATTATCCTTCTTTCCAACACCGTCAACGAGGCATACGAGATTATTGATAGAATTGCAGACAATGCTTGTCAGTACCCCACTACAAGAAGTACTGTAGGAATGATGGTAGCCAGTACAGTTGAACGAGATACTTTATCATCACCAATGTCATAAGAATCGACACTGACCGACATGATAAAGGATATGAAAAGACCTAGTCAGGTACAAGTTGTGCAAATACCAAAACTAGTTAGTGTATTTTGTGGCGACTGGCGACTGGCGACAACCACGTGTATGACGAGGGTCTTCAAAACCTAGAGTCAATTTACTTCAGCGGAACTCACATTGTCTGGACACAAATATTTTCGACAGTACATACAATACAAGTTGGAGGATTCATCGGCTATTTTCCCCAAAAATCACCTTACATCTATATATTTTCCTGTCAGACACCGTTCAGATTATATTTCTCGATCTAACACACTTTACAGAAAGGCGCACCCCTACACCGCGCTTTAGGCCACGTGAGATAAGACGTGCAACTCGAGTGTTAATTTTGTAAATATTTTAAAAGTGGTGCTTAATATGTAATTAATTTATGTTATGATGATATTTGTGTAAAAAAACCAATTTTATCTATTTATTTTTTTTGATATTATTTTTAACAACAATTAATAATATTTATTGAATTTTAAAATTAATTGTTTAAAAATATTAAAATAAACTTTTAATTACAAATGAGATATCAAATGAATTATTATTCATTTTTTTAAAAATAAATAAAAATGAATTAAAAATGAATAAAATTCAATAAAAATATAATGTAAAGTTAAAAATATCACCTCTTTATTTAAAATATTCTTTCTGATATTAATTTTAAAAAATATAAAATAAGTATTAATTTTTAATTTTACTAAAAATGAATAAATATTATGAACTGCTGTTAAAAAATAATAATTAATGACGAGATAAAAAAGTTTTTGTGAAGATTGAGCAGAAAAGATCAACTCTTTGATCGGATGCTTATTTGTGGTACAATTGAGTTGATATTTAGACAGCAGTTAGATAATTTTAAGTTATTGACTTTGTACGATCGAATTTTCATTCGATTCATGTAACTTTCCACACCTACGACTGTTTAACAATCATAAACTTGACTAAAATAAACTTTTAATTACAATTGAGGGATCAAATGAATTATTATTCATTAATTATTATTTTTTAAAAACAGTTATAATGTTTATTCATTTTTAATAAAATTAAATATTTATTTTATATTTTTTACAATTAATATTAGAAAGAATATTTTAAATAAAGAGGTGATATTTTTTAGCTTTACATTATATTTTTATTGAATTTTACTTATTTTTAATTTATTTTTATTGCATTTTTATTTATTTTAAAAAAATGAATAATAATTAATTTAATCTCTCAATTGTAATTAAAAGTTTATTTTAATATTTTTAAACAATTAATTTTAAAAGTCAATAAATATTATTAACTGTTGTTAAAAATAATATCACAAAAAATAAATAGATAAAGTTGGCGTTTTTACACATATATCACTCTAATAGAAATTAATTATATATTAGCCACTATTTTAAAAATATTTACAAAATTAACATCCGAATTTTTTACACATTTAACATAGCATGCTGCAGGGGCGCCTTACCCCACGTGACGTCTTACTCCCACGTGGCGCCATATCAAGCTAAAGTGCGTTGTAGGGACGCACTTTTATGAAAAAAAAAAGTGTTAGATCAGAAATATAACATGAACGGTGCCTGGAAATATATAAATGTAGGGTGATTTTGGGGGAAAATCACCGGATTCATCCAGCTTGTACTTTGGGAATGCTGTCAATTCTAACGTCAGTACAAAAGGTCGAGTCAATTACTCAAACAATCAACAAATCAATCAGCAATCATATCAGTAGAATAGAATAGGTATGCTCAGCAACTGATATTTTAACAACAATTGATACAACAACCTATGTATCAACAGAGGATGCAACGGTCTCAATTAACAGCTCAACAATAGTAACCAAGAATCATGCAACAAGGACAATCGTCTATTGCTAGTCATGCTCCTGAATCGACATCATCTCTCTAGTTTTTACTTCGAGAGTATATCACAAAGAACAAAGCAATGATTCAGAGACATGATGATTCTTTGCGAGCATTGGAGGCATGGATGGGCCAATTAGCTAGTTCTCTTGGAGATATTCTCTCTATATCATTAAAAAAAATTTGAGTGCTAAAGATTCGAAGATACTCTAAGACCATTCAGTGGTTGTACGGTGCGAGGATGGTGTTCTATGAAAGAGTATTTAAAGGATGTATAACAACAATATTAATCAATAAAGTATAAAGGTCAATGATGTTTATTTAGACTTCCTTCCCTTCATCGTTCGAAGACCTACCACCTTTTTCAATCGCTCGACAACTACAACCTAAACTTTTTTTTCTTATTTCCTCGAGTTTAGTATTCAAACTATAAAGTCAATCATTTCCCCAAGTCTACGGGTTGTTTGAAAATTTACAAGTTTGATGTTTTATTTGGAAGGGAATATGAACCGTAGGATTCCATCAAATCATAATGCGTGGATAAACTGGAAAGGGTCTAATTCCATTTTTTTATATCACTCGTGCGTCGTCGTTTCGATTTTATTTCCGTCGTGGATAAACCGGAAAGGCTTGTAAACATAAATTTTAAGATTAAGTATATAAATGGTCTTTGTTATAGGGTACTGTTTTATTTAGTCATTTGACTATTGAAAATTATAAACAATCTCTAATTATAAGATGATGCTTTGTTAAATCATTCTATTATTAAAAGTTACAAAATAATAATTTGATTATATATATATGTTCTAAACTCGTCCTCTTTCGTTAAAAAAATTAACAGTTATTTGAGCTAGACATTAACTTGCTCATTGGAATATGATAAGATATAATCTCAGAATTGTTTAAGTTTGGATCGAGTCTTTATTTATATTATGTCGTCAAGCCAGTGCTTGAAACATTATATCATCGAACTAGTACTTGAAACCAATGACGATGTCAGTAGACGTCATTAAAATATGATTTTATCATATCCTACTCAAAAGATTAATATCGAGCTCAGACAACCATAATTTTTTAACGAAAAATATGAGTTTAAAACATATGAATAGTCGGGTAACTATTTTGTAACTTTTAATAGTTTGAGGATTCAACAAAGCAACGTCCATCAGAAGATGATTTTGTAACTTTTAATACTGTCGGATTTAATTTTTTTGTTTATGTTCTCAATTAATTATGAAGAAAAAGGATCTTAAACATCTGAATTCTTTTATCCTATTAGAAAAAGAAAACTATACATGAATGTAAATTTCTAAAATTATAAATTTGTAGGACAAAACTCAGCTATTAATGGAGCAGAATGTTGAGACTCTACTTCTCATTGTATGGCTCCAAATCTACCAAGAGCTCGGGTAAGTATACGAATTTATATGATTGATAATGAGAATGAAATATGAGGGAGAAAAACTCGGTAAATGAACAATAGGATCAATTCTATCATTTTTTTCCCATTTGCAGGCATCGTCAAATGAGTTCAGTGGGATCAAATGATCCCCATCAAGGTAGTGAACTCCAACCGGATCATAGGAGTTCAGTGGGATCGAATGCCCCAAATCAAGGTAGTGAATTGCACCGACATCAGATGAGTATCTCACATGACCCCTATCAAGGTGGTGAATTGCAGCAGTGTCAGGTGAGTTCAGTGGGATCAAATGACCCCCATCAAGGTAGTGAACTACATCAGTGTCAAAGGAGTTCAGTTGGATCAAATTATTGGGAAATAAAACGAGTAATTTCCCTATAACCAGATTAGTGAGAATGCAAAATAAAAGCGGAAAAATAATACCCAAAATTGATAACAGAGTTCAGCCAATTATGTTTACGTCTCCGGACTGCTGCAATCTTTTACTAAAGGGAGAAAATTTACAGGTGTTTACAAAAACACTTGAGAGAGAGTTAGAATGATTTGGGGATAATTTTGAAGCTAAATGAACTAGGGTATTTATAGTTGAAGTTTAAGGACTAATCTTATAAATACCCTAAAGCACAATGACTCAATTTGGTAATTATCCCTTTGCCAATTTCAACAATATTGGCTGTCCACTTTGAATTCAAAATTACCGTCCAATTTGAAATTCAACCATCCATCTAGAATGCCAACAACAATTGTCAACTTTCAATAATCTCCCACTTGAAGACTGATTTTAAACTGTCTTCACACCTCGATCAATGCTGCAGCTTTTCTAGTCTTGTTATACTAAATCTGCGTCAGCCCTTCTTACTCCCTAAAGGCTGACACTCCTCGCATTGAACCCTTGTCATTGGAGTTCTTTGCACCATCATGCATCGGCATTTTCTCATGGCAAAGTCCGATGCCTCTTCTTGCCTCCTCCCTTCTACCACGAAGGTTGGAGCTCACTTCCCACCTTGCAAATGGGTAGTTTCTCCATGGTTGCCTTGTCCCTTAACATCTTGGCTCCCTTCGACTCTTGTCCACTAGTCTTTGAAGGATTGTTCCTCACTTGAACATCCTCGGCAAGCCCCTGCTTCGACCCTTCTCTTAAGATGGTCTCTGAAGCCATGTTCTCTACACGAACATGCTCGACAAACTCCTTGGACACTGACAACTTTTCTTGCACTTGGCTTCTACTCGCCTTGAAAGAAATGAACCTTATTGAGCCAACTCTCAACACCCCTTCGATCTTGGGTTCATCCTCTTCTCTGGACAACTCAATCTTTGGCTCATCCATCACATTGGATGACTCGGCTACCCTCGGGTAGTCTCGCAACACTTCGGGCATCTTATGTCTACGCCTCCTCGTTTACTCGACTTTTACCCTCGGCTTAGCATCTTTGCCACTTGAAATTGTGCCAAGACTACACACATCTTCCCCAGATCCACCATTTGGTTCATCATTGAGTGGACTTTCTCTGCCACTCGAGGAACAACATTCCTTATCCTCTGACTTATCTTCATTACGGAACCTATTGCCGCTATCCTCGGCTTTCGGCTTTGCTTTGGAAGTCTTGTTCTTCTTGACTCCAAATTCTTTGATGGACTCAGCGGTTGTCAAGGCTTTAGACAACTCATTGACTTCTGTTCGCTCCAACACTCTCTTCGCCCATGGCTTCAATCCGAGCATGAAGGTGAAGAATCCATCTTCTTCACTCAAACTTGGGACTTTCAGCATGAATCTTCTGAATCGGCTCACATACTCCTTAAGTGTCCATTTATGCCTGAGACACCTCAACTTGAACCACGCCTCCATCCTGGTATACTGTGAGCAGAGTTGCTCATTTTGCACCCTTGACTTGACGGTTTTATCTCTTGTTATCACACCGGGTCCCTTCTTATGCTCGACTGCTTTGACACTCACAATCTCGTCACTTTTCGATCCTGGGTTGACTACTTGAGAACTTGTAGTCGCACCACTCTTTCTCCTTGATTCGGCTACTTTAGAACATGTAGCCTCACCAAGTCTTTCCCCTTTCTTGATTGCTTGGATACTTGCAATCTCGGGCTTTCTTCCGGGTTTGGCTGCTTCAACATTAATAGCCTTGCTTCGTTTCGATCCTTGCTTGGCCGCATTGATCCCATCAATTGGGCTAAGTCTTTTTCCTGGCTTGGTAGCTTTAACACTTACGACCGTGCCAATTCCCGCTACTTCTCCTTCTTCCATCCTCTTCATGATGGTTGTAAGGCGAAACTTCTCGGGACATCCTCTAATCAAATGAGGACAATCACAGAAGTAGCACTTCAATTTTTTCTTGCTCTCATTCTTCTTTACACTGGACTTAGCCTTGCCATTCTTTCCCGATGGCATTCCTTGGCTACGAATAGTCGATGTCTCACCTTGGCCACTCGAAGAGCTTTCTCTATCATCTCTCCGCTGTACCTTTTCCCGGTCTCCCCCACTATTGCCACTATCTCTAGGCATGGGCCTGGACGACACATCGCTACTTGGCTTGACACCTACAAGCCCAGACAGCTTTCCGGCTACAGCTATGGCCTTCGAAAGTCTCTGGGCATCACCTTGCTCTTCCCCGAGCATCGCCCCTGGTCGCATCACTTTGCGCTCCCCCGAGCATCGCCCCTGGTCGCATCACTTTGCTATCCCCCGAGCATCGCCCCTGGTCTAAGTCCTTCCAAGAAGGCCTTGAGCACATCCCATTCACTCATTGCTCCCTTGCATATGAGCAGCTCCCTTTTGAGCTCATCAACTTCGTTTCTCAAAGCCATCGCTCCCACTCGAATCTGGCTTCTTTTGGATCGTTTCTGACAATTTCCGCGAACCACCGTGTATTAGAATACCCCCGTTGACAAATTCGTACCGCCGACCAAATTTCACTATTCACGAAATTCACTATTCATGTGAATAGTAACCTCACAGAAAAATTGAAAAAATTCACAACCAAAAGCTCATGATACCAGTTGTTGGTAAATAAAATGAGTCATTTCCCTATAACCATATTAGTGAGAATGCGAAATAAAAGCGGAAAAATAATACCTGAAATTGATAACGGAGTTCAGCCAATTATGCCTACGTCTCCGGACTGGTGCAGATCTTTTACTAAAGGGATAAAATTTACAGGTGTTTACAAAAACACTTGAGAGAGAGCTAGAATGAATTGGGGATAGTTTTGAAGCTAAATGAGCTAGAGTATTTATAGTTGAAGCTTAAGGACTAATCTTATAAATATCCTAAAGTACAATGACTCAATTTGATAATTATCCCTTTGCCAATTTCAACAATATTGGATGCCCACTTTGAATTCAAAATTGCTATCCAATTTGAAATTCAACCGGTCATCTAGAATGCCAGCAACAATTGTCAACTTTCAACACGAATGATCCCCATCAGAGTAATAAACTACAACATTGTGTGATGAGTTCAATGGGATCAAATGATCCCAGTCAAGGTAATTTCGTGGGATTAGTTGACCCCCATCAAGTTAGTGAACTGCAACGAGTTCAGCGGAGGAGCAAATGACCCACATCGAATTATTGAACAGCTTCAGACAAGTTCAGTGCGACCAATCATACGTAGATTCCTAAAGCGTAAGGTATATATGTATGTGTATTAAGCATGCTTTCAGGAGCTCCTTCATGCTTTCCTTGCTTCTAACTACTAAATAGTCACAGAGAGGGATTGCAAAAAAAAAAACTATGGAGGAAAGGATTAAAATGTTGAGAACTGAGATGAGAGAGACAGTGAAAGAGCAAGAACTTATCAGGGAAAGTCAAAGGAAACTTCAAAAAATAATAGAAGAGAGTGAGCAACTAAGAAGAGACTAATCGAATAACCCAACAGTCTCGAATCCGCTTGGCTCTCATGTTCAGGATCATCAAGGCACGAGAAGCATGCCATTTTGCTCTGGCTTCTACCTTAACTGAATTGCTTCGGTCAGTTCGTTGTTTTGTCAGTTTTTGGTGTGCTTCCTAAAAGATGATGAAATCAACGTAAAATTTCCTTCTGTTTCAGTGAAATATGTGAAATAATGGCGCCGGAATCGAACCCGAAAAAGAAGAAATAATGGTTCGGGAATAATCTGAAGCATGGAAGTTGCCTTTATTAATTAATGAAGATGGTCTCGGAGTTAATTGTTAGTCCATTCAGTCTCTTAATATCTTTTTTTCCTTCTCTTTCACATTTATCTAGGTTTTATTTTACATATTTATGTTTTTTTATTTTATTTAATAAATCTTTCGTTTTTCTCGTAAGAATGGTGGATATTTTTGTTTGCTCTTGTAGTACGTGTTTGTCTTGCTTTTGTAAATCTATCTTTTTTTTTGGATTGGATTATCATCGCCTCTTTAGTTGACGGTTATTTGATTATCTTATTGATCTATCATTACTTTGGATCTTCAGAGTAATTCTCTAATATTGATAGATACTCATAATTGTCCTGAATATATTGTACTTAAATTATGATAAAACCAATTATCAATGTATTGTTATGTTCTATTATTATGTTATTATTAATGGTATTTATCATTTTTTTATAGTTGTATTTATTTATTTATTTATTTTATTTTTCTCAGTTGGTTGTTATTATTATTTAAAAAAATCCTCTATTTTGAAAGATATAAAAAAAATTTCTTTCCATAAAAGAAATATGTTTACCTCTCTAAAACATTTAATTTATAATACCAATATTTTTATTTGTATTACTAATGTTTTTTCTTCAGAATTTTACTATTTTAACAAGTTCAAGGTATCGCTGTCCAAGAATATTTGAATTTTTGTTTTGAAAAAAATATATAAATGGACATATTATGTTTTGTCAAGAGCATGAATCGATATCTTGTTTGAATGTAACTTCTCTAAAGTTGTGGAGAGTGAAATGCTTAAGTTTTGTAGGATTAAGAGAAGACTCATGCGTTAGCAGTAAGAATTGGAATTGTAATGATGTCTTGTTAAACAGCTAATTATCATATATCTTGAACTTAGTAAATGTAGGTTTTATTTTGAACTCTATATTTTTACATGATTTTTTTAACATAATATCAATATCTGTAAATAGATAGAATGATTAAATTTAAAAGCAACTATATATATATATATTATCTTTATTTTTGAACTTTACATACATTAAGCTTGTATGGCTTAATTTGAATTATTTTTTTATAAATTATAAATCATCTATTTGGAAAAAGATAATTGGAATCTGATGATTGGACTACTGCTTCAATGTTGCTTCAATGTAGGCTATTGCTCGCAGACTTGCCTCTCCTCTAATGTTTTGCTGCTCTTTGCTCATCTCTTTCGTATCTACTTTCAGCCTTTTAGATTTTATCCTCGTATACCTTGCTCGAGTCTTTTTCTTGGGGGTTCCCACGCAATTAAACAAACATTATTATCATGCATGATGCATTGTACATTGATCCACCACGCATACAATGTTGAATCACGTAGAAGTAGGGATGGCATGGGTCGGGTTTTTGGTCCATCCGACCCGACCCGAGAAGAAGGGGACCTCCACCCGTGACCCGACCCGACCCGACAAAATTTATTTTTCACCCGACTCGACCCGATAGATAGTTTAAAAAACTCGACCCGAAATAATAAAAAAATATTTTTATTCAATAAAAACAATGACTAAATTGAAAAAAATAATATATGGAGGGGTATTATTGTAATTATTCCTAAATATATAGGGTAAAATTATATGTTTTTTCCGGGTCGGGTCGGGTCGGATTTTTTTCACCCTAAACCCGAACCCGAAATTTTTTTAGAAAAATCCGACCCGATCAGGTCGGGTCGGGTCGGGTCGGAACCCGTCGGGTTCGGGTTAGATGCCCATCCCTACGTAGAAGTAGGAACCAACGCATGATTTAATGTTAAGGGTAATAATATAAGAATTTCTATTGGAAATTTAAGAGATGTAAAATTATAGGATAAATTACACGTTCAGTACCTAAACTATTACTTTTGTTCTGTTTTGATACTTAAATTTTATTTTATTTTTCAAAGTCATATATAACATTTAGTTTAATTTTCATTTTAGTAACATGTCATTAAAAACTTAACGGTGATGTTGACGTATCACAATAAGATAATGTCACGTCATCGTTTAAAAAAAATATCACGTTAGCAATTGTGTTAGTTTTATAATAGCATGATATCCAATTAAAACATAAACTAAACATTAAGTATGACTACGAAAAAAAATTAAATACCAAAATAAAAATTTAGATATGTAGTTTATCCAAAATTATTAAAATTTCAGAATATACAAAATTATATTATTAATAATAAATAAAAATATTTAAAACATGATATCACATCTTTTAACACCTCTTAATCTATTATTACGTAAAAGGAAAGAGTAAGTTTTACGTGCGTACCTTCAGTCATTTACACAAAATGAAGGATGTTGCATGCAACCACCGTCTATATATGCAAATCAGATTTCTGTTCCTTTGGACATCAAACTCATCTTTTATTCTGGTCGGCTACTTATTAAATTTTAGTCATTGGCAATGGCGGTGCCTCTGCCGCCCCATCTTCACCGCGCGCTCTTTTACGATTTTAAAGCCGGCGCGTTCGTGATCGCGCGTTATTCCATTTTCGTGACTTTTGTTGATTTTGTATATAGAATAAATTTGTTTTAGGTTTAATATATATTGTATCCATGTACTTAAGTCTAATAGCAATGACTGATGAAAGAGGATTTCAATTATCCGAAAAATTACATTGCCTATTGATACTATTTACGAGCTCATGATCTATATAAAAATTTAGTGAGCCGTACGTCTATGACTCACACGAATCCTTAACCATGCGAAGTATATCTCGTAAACTCTTATTAATAAATACGTACATCTCATCTATGATCTACAAATACAGCTTGTAGATAATATCTAACTGTGACATGTTAACACATGTAATTGCATTTGATGACTAACTAAGTTTATGTCATCACTTTTTAAGACGTCCCATCAATTTTAATGACATAATAATTTCCACTCAATATCAATCTATGACATTGTAAATAATCATATACCAGAGAATAAAAATACGTATAATCTTCTTTACAATAAACTCAAATCAAAACCACTTGAAAAAAACTCTGATCACCATTTATGATTATTATATATTTCAATTATTAACTTATTCAGCTCATCATCTCGGTTATGAAATCTTATTTCCTTTTTTTCATCTTTATTTACGAGAATGAAAGTATGGTTTTATATCAAAGACATAAACTTTTAGAATCCGTTCTCTTTATTCAAATCTTCATTTGCCTTCTGTATTAATTACACATTACAAATAATTAAAATTTATTATTTTAATTATTTTATAATAATTACTGAATATTATTTTTATCAATATTTGATTTATTAAAATAGTTTATTACGATTTTTACAAATTATATCATTGAATAATAATACTTTGTAAACAATAAATAATAGTATAAATTCAAATAATATTTTTCATGAAAATAATATATAGTGTTAATTAAATTAATAAGTTATTATATATTATTAAAATTAAAAATATCATATTAAAATAAAAATTATATTACATTATTAAAAAATATTTAAAAATAAATTTAAAATATTTTAATAATTAATATTTTCAAAAAAAATAATACTACAATATTATATTGATATTAAATATATAAGATTATACTATTTTATGAAATTCGAAAGGTAATAATTTTTTAAAAAAATTAAAACTTATTTTATATTGACTAGAAAAATAGATTATGCTGACTAAATTATTTTACACCAATTAAACATCAAAAAATATTTTTTTATAAAACAAATAAACATATTAGAAGGCACTATTCAATGACTTGGTATTGTAGTTTCATTACTTATTGATGACCATGGTAGCCCTTATTTGAAATGTTCAGATATGAAACCATGGGTTTAGAACTATATGTTGAAGCATTTAGATGCCCCATCCATGTCGGCTTAGAGCTTGCTGGTAGGAACTCCGACTAGTTTATCTCTAGATCTCTTTTCGATTGCCCGAGACATCTGCTTTACTTCCTCTTTTGGCAGACGGCGAGGCTGGCTCAGCCAAAGTCCTCCATCAACTACAAGGGTAGTGCCATTGACATATTTACCTTCCAAAAAAAATCACATTCAAATGAATCAAGAGCTCAAAATTTTCAGGAAAAGTGTTAAAGCTGGAAAATAAAAAACAAAGGCAAGATGAGAAAACAATGCCATTTACAGAAAGTGCCAAAGTTTAGGAGAATATTTAAATCTAAAGGCTGTACAACCAGGTGCAAGCATGCAGAGATGTTGATCTTAGGTATATTGAAGCTAATACTGAAACAAAGAAGTGATTAATCTACGGAATGAAAAAGAAGGATTATATGCTCGGAAAAGTTTGGAGAAAGAAAAATGATGCTTTTGTACATTATATGATTATATTACTAGGCTAATTCAATACTATGGTATCTAATTTGTAGGTATAATAACAAGGACAAGGTAACTCACCAGCATCTGAAACAAGGTAGAGAGCTGCCATAGCAATATCCCATCTGTCCCCTTCTTTATACAAAGGCATGTGCTCCAAAGTTTTGCTTTTAATCTCATCTGGTACTAGTTTACTCATACCAGGGGTATCACCAATAGGGCCTGGGGCGATACCATTGACGCGAATATCATAGTCAGATCCCCACTCAAGTGCCAAGTTTCTAGTAATGCTATCAACGGCTGCCTACCATAAAGAAACACCGGAAATAAGCCTACTGAAGAGTACAACCTTGGCTGCAGAGACGTCGGAGGAAGAAATTTATACAACAAACCTTGGCTGCAGAAACATGAATTTGGTACCAAGTAGCTGTATAGTGTAAAGTAGCACTAATATTCAAAATTGATCCACCCCCAGAGGAGTTCCTACCGTGTCCTCCCTTTTTGAGATACTTGAGTGCTTCATGGCACATCGTGAATGTGCCGACAGAATCAATATCCATAACTGCAGATGTTGGTAAAACCGATTGCATTTAGCTAAGTTGTTTACAGAGGATATAAAGAAACTTGCTTAGTCTATGGACGTTGCAAAACTTATTGAAAATACCTGTTCTAAACCCATTAGGGGACAAATCCTCAGCAGACGCAAGAAAATTGCCAGCAGCAGCATTCACAAGTACGTCAAGGTGGCCAAAATGTTTGACAGTTGATTCAACCACTCTTCTTGCATCTTCCTGCTTGCGCACATCCCCCTCGAAGCCAGCAGCCTTCAGAAACAATTTAAGGCAAAATGAAATGTCAGCTAATATTCAGTAGAAAGTACAAAACCAGCATATCAAACAATTAATTTATTAAAACTAATTGAATGTATGCGTATATATCATGCATAAGACAGTTTCACATCATATATTGAAGATTATAGATGCATAATAAGTGATTGAACTATGGAAAAGGAATCAATGGGGGGAAATACAAAGCATAAAACAAAGATGGCACAGTTTAATGAATTCTTATACCATTTTTTTATAAAGATGTATCGGAATGACACATATCAAGCAGAACTGCATAAATATAATTCACCACTGATAACTTATAGGATAAGCAACAAAAACACACAAAATTAAGATGAATGAACTCAATGCACAAGGAATGGGACACTAACATGAGGATCTGGAGTTCTAATTGGGATTTATGTGATCAGATAAGACTACACGTCCCACTTTGCAGCTCAATATCGTATATTGAATTCAGGGAACCAGACTAAAGCTTAAGGCTGGTGCTGTAGTGCATGTAAATAGTATAATGAATCCTTATGAGATGACATCTAAACTGAGTTTGAATCTTAAAATCTGTAATTCTGATGAAATCGTTTCATTTTGAGAAAGAAAAGAGAGGGAAATGGGGATGGGGAGAATATACATTAATTCCAAGGGAGTGAAGAGAAGAGACGGCGGCATCAAGGACTTGTTTGCGTCGACCCATGATAGCGACTGAAGCTCCATGATTCCCGAACTGTGTGGAAATCTCGAAACCAATGCCTGAGCCTCCGCCTGTTATCAAACAAACCTTTCCTTTCACTATATCTGCCCTGAATGGTGACTCCATTACCAATTCCCAGACCTTCCCTTCTCAATGTTGCAGTCGAAAACCAAACGAGATTCAAAGTTACGAAACCCAAATAAAACGAACGTTAACCACTCGATATTTATGACACAAATAATCCGATATTTCAATACTCGTTTTGACAAAATTGCCATACTTTTTTTTATTTAATTAAATTATTTATATAATCTTATTAATTTAAATATTAATATTTTTAGGGAATGTTATATTATTATTTGACTTAATTAAAAAATAGGCATAATATTAAAATTAGTCCTCAATATTTATCAACATAATTATTTTAACTCAATATATATATATATATACACATATTTGATAATTTTAATCTAAGTGAAATTTTTTCATTAAACTCTATTGTTTTATGATAAAACAAATATTTCATTCTAATATCAACGAAATAACTTACAAGTCATTTCTCTTTGTAGCTGATGTTTGTGAATTAGTGATGGTCAAAATACCTGAAATTGATGGGTTTCGACTCGATCTGACTCTATAGGGGTGTTTTTTTAATTTCAAGGTTTTGCGGCTTTAAGATAAAAATACCGACCCAACCCGATTCCGTACAAACCCTTATATATACTTAAATATTTTTATTTTATAGTGTTAAAATATAATAGATTATAATATATATTTTTTTAGCAGTTTAAAATATATTACTTTAATTATTTTAAAATATTAATATATTTGGGTCAAGATCGGGGTTTTAGTATAAAAGTCGGAGCGGGACGGGTCTAGGTATAAGAAAAATAATTTCAGGTCTGGATCGGGGCGGCCAGAAAACCGGGCCGCCCCACCCCGTGCCCATCCCTATTCCCTACAATGAACCGGCCGCAGCAAAATCATCATACGCTACCTATTAAGAACAAGAAAGTCATTAACGGGAGCCGTTTACAGAAAGAACAAAGCATACGTTTCATCTAGTGATCAATGATTAAACATACACCGTATGATTTAAACATCTTTTAAGGTGAAACCTGATGCATGTGAATTCATATACTGAACTGTCATATAACTTTGAAAGAAGCAGATGTTTGAAAAGGTAAAAGATGCTCATGTTCGGATTAAAGAATCATGTCTCGAAAATTTAAAAAGATCGTTTCATTTTTTTCTTTCTTATATGGCATATACCAAAACTATTTAATACTTATTAATGTTAAAACTAGTTTTCCAATATTTAAATTCTATCTGTAATACAATTAATCCGTTTAACCGATAACCGGAGGTCTCACGTTGTTGACTTGTGAACCAGTTTTTTAAACAAATAGCAGAAGAAAAAACGGCTTCCATCCAGCCACTTCGAGCTGATATGGATGGGAGGAGAAAAATCTGAATATATATGGGATATCCACAAAATTACTGATGATGCTTACCGTCTCGGCACGAATGAAGCCTTTCTCAAAATCAGAGTGAACGACTCCGGTAGCTTGAGGAGCAGTCATTCCTGACCAACAAAGAATAAATTAGACAACACTGGAACACTTATTTAAGACTCGTGACAAAGATAAAGACTGTCTGCTCATGGTACGGATCAAACACCAAAACAGCTGAAGCTGCCTGCAAGTATTCTCCATGCTTTTGATTCCTGCAGAATTAAGAACGACACTTTAAACTAATGCAACAGATAAAATTCAAACAGAAATATAAGTCCATAAGATTAAATAAGAAATGTTAAAATAATTCCATGTCTTCTTACCTTCTCCAACGTCCGTAGCCCTAGAAGGTTGTTTGTTTCTCTAATAAGCTTTCCAAGTCCACTTTCACTGTCACCCAGATGACAGAGATTTCAAATATTCAGCTAAAATTCAACCTGTAATGCTAAGCTTCCTTAGTTCCTTTGCATGACACAATACTAGTTATATAACAACAATTAACAACGGGCGTTAAATGAACATATAAATTTTATTTTAGTGAAAGATGACAGAGCATCAATGTCTGCCAACAATCTCGAGCGCATCAGAGAGAGAGAAGATGCAATGGTCTATATTACTCGCCACTATAATATGCTTTTCAAGAGTATCACCAAACCGGAGATTGTTACAATTCCAGATTGCAATTCAGAAGCATGATTCATCACTTCGTTAACATGGGGATTACTTCCTGGCTCGGCGAGATCCGGTTCTGCTACATTAGCCACATATAAGATTGGTTTCATAGTCAGCAAGCAAAGATGTTTCACAGCATCCTTTTCGCAGTCATTTAATTCAACTGATCGTGCTGGTTTTCCATCCATAAGTGCCCGCTGCATCTTTTCCAAGGCAGACTTTTCTGCTTCTTCCTAAATTAGTATAACTTTAAGGAAGTCAATGCTAACACAAACAAACACCATATTGGAGAATAGAATAGACAGGCCAATAGGCAAAAGATAAGAGGCTACTTATAGTAAAACTGGAAGAGGAACAATAACTTCATCTTTACTTTAGATTGTGAATCCTTTGCCTTTCCCCTTTTAAGCTTCTCCAGTCTTTTATCAATCTGCAGTTGTTATAAAACATACGATACTTTCATATATCCCCATTTGGGTTTAGGCTCCCACAGCAATATACTAGGGTCATAGAGAAGTTCATAGAGAAAGAATAGTCGAGCAAAATTATTGGTCATTAGTGCATGAGTGAAAACATAAGATACAGACAGTAAATTAATTTGAATTTATAGATACAACAACAACAACAACAAAACCCAATTCCCATATGTAATTCACATCACCATAAGCCGTTAAACAGAGGACTGTTTCATCAATCAGATATAACTAGGATTCTCAAATAAATATTGATGGCTTTTGAACTCCTCCCTCTTGGAGGTTATGAACAAGTTACTCTCATCTTGAAGTTTCAGTATCATTGATCTTCAATTTTTTCCTGAAAGACCTATAAATACTCATTTATATCGTTATCATGTATTTTATGAATGTTATGCTCTTATTTATGCCTAAAATGTGTGCAACAATAAAATTTTTCGGCATGTTTCAATCTTTGAAAGAGATTCTTCTTTTATTAACCACTCAAATCTCCTATTAGATGTGCTCATATTTTTCTGATTTGTGGTTTGTCGGTAGCATTTTAGTAACTTTGTCTCATTTTGTGATTCATTTGTTGATACGGTCATATATGTTTGTATATATATTTTTGGTAATATTTTTAAACTTTTCCTTGTATGATCTTAAGTGACTAGTTTTTGTGCTAATGATTATAGAAAATGTCATAATTATACAGACAAATCTATATAGAAAGTGAGATAAATTTTTTGTTTAATAGTGTTTTAGATCTTTATCAGTTTAAATTTAAGTAAAATTAAACTTTTGTCCCTTCAATTTTTTAGATTAAATACATAATAAGTCTTATTATTTTGAACTTAAGTACTTTGTTCCTCCCAATATTTGATTCTAGTTTCGTCCCTAAGTTTACATTTATAATAATAAACCTTTATTATAATTTTGGATATTTCCTTTTTTATTAAAAAAAATTGGCAACTTCTATATAAAAAAACATCCATTAAAATTACAATAAGCTAAACTGAAAATGAAATTTACCCTATAAAATATATAATATCTAAAAGTAAAATAATATTTAGAAAATTAATTGAATTAATTATTTAAATGAAAGTAATTAATTTTGGGATCTGGTATTTTTATCCAAATAAACAGACTTTAAAGGCCCAAAGCAGTAACCGGAGTGCATTAGTCAACAAAGGCAGAAAAGGTAAGGGTGTTAAAAAAATAAAATCTGAAGATGTTCGAGTCATTAAAGAACATTGAAGTTCAACTTGCATCAATATATCTTCTTCCCATATATTAATATATGCACTGCACATGAGTGTAAACCAACAGTAAAGCAAAGACCCGCAGCAATGACAGATCCAATGAAGAAGAAAATGCTGAAAGAAGAAATCGTTACCTACGCTTATCTCATCCTCTACATCGCTCTCTCCAGCGGTCAAATCTTCTTCAACAAGGTGCTCTTCTCTTTTTCTTTCTCTTTTGGATCTCTCCTTTTTTCATCACCTTGATATGAATTTCAGAAGGTTTTAAGTTTTAGACTTCGCGTTGGTGGAAATGCTCATAATTTCAATAAATTTACATTTAATTTAATCCTATGTTCAGCTTAATTATTCTAGATGGAGTTGTCTTCCCTTCGAAAGTAAACTCGCAATCTGATGTGTTTTTTAATTGGTAATTTTATATTAAAATTAGCTGTAATGCTTTGCTTGTAATTTTATAAAGATGTGGATGTTGAAATTTTCAAAATCTTCTTATAAAATTTGCTTCATAGAAAAGAGTTTTAGTTCTATTCAATGATTCACCTGGATTCCCCTAATTGAAATGCACAATCTTGCAGCATTAAAGCAGGAAATGAGTGTCAAGTAGCTTATTATTAGTTCAGGGTCGACCTTGCAATAATATTCATTTTTTTATGAGTTAATGGCGAGCAGATATTTTTCCTTTATAGTCTTCTCACTTGCTCGAGTTCTTTATGTTTCGGTGACCCTAGTTTTAGGGGTATCTATATGCATTTATGCACAAGGTTTATCATGATGCTGAATACTTAGAACCTCATGTGACAAAATATTGTTATTGTTTGTTACATGTGCCTAAAAATGGGTGTCCATTCAGGTGAATGGGTTTAATAGTGGTCTAGAACTGTGCTAACACTTAACAGTTAACTTCTTATGCATACTCCTTTCTGGCAAACCTTTTCAATTTCAGAGTTCAGATCTATGTTGTTCATGTCAAATGCAATGCATTTTGTGTAAGTGTTAATATTTTGTGTATTGTTTGTTTGACCATATTATTAATGAAATTTTAGCGTTGCTCGTTATTTTTCCTCCATAAAATTGTTGTTTGAGATGGTAAAGAACGATAAATGCTTTTAACTTTCCCAGTAATCTTGTTTACTTGAATTCCACATGCTGTGTTGGCAACATGCTGACAAGGATTTATAATCTCATGCATAATGAATGCCGTTACCCTTTGTAACATTTGTCTGAAAATTGTCCATTCAGGTGAGTGGGCTAAATTTGCTATGGATAACTATGGTAATCCCTATGCATACTTGATTGTGCAAACCTGTTCGACTTGAGGGTTTAGAATAGTGTTGTTAATGTCAAACTCAAATACAATGTTTTCTCTCCTAGTTCAAACATCGTATATATTGTTAACTTGACCATGTTATCCATTAATTGTCAGTGTTGCTCGTCATTTTTTATCTTTAGAATTATTGTTTGATTTAGTAAAGAACGAGAAACTCTTGTGACTCTGATTCATAAGGCTGATATTATCTTTTTATGTTCTTATCTTTCTATGAAAACTGCAGTGGGTATTGTCATCAAAGGAAATAAATTTTCCATATCCCCTTGGGTTGACTCTGCTTCACATGGCCTTTTCCTCTGTTCTATGTTTCTTACTCACTAAGGGCTTCAAGGTATCCTCAGCACTATATATTTATGTAAACTGATATACGGTGATGATTTTTAATTTCTTTTATGTGGAAACCTTGATCACCCTTTTTTCCCATGTCAGATTTTGAAAGTTGAAGAAGGAATGACATTAGAAATGTAAGTTAGTGATTGACCACCTTATTTATGATGCTTGAATTTGTAAGTTTTGTACTTTGTATAGAGAAGCAGCAGGTTTATTTACTGGTTGATTTCATTCATGTCCTTTGTGGTGATTGAATATGACTTGTTTCTCTTCGATGAAAGTTTAAAGGACACAAATGTGACTAACTAGGGAAAAAGAGTAAAACATGGGAGAAGAACACTTATTAAAAAAGGGAAAAAGATTTATAGAAGGACAAAACAGTTACAGAAAGAGAGAAATTAGAAAGAATGGGAAGAAAATATTAAACAGAGTGGAAACACAGAGGTAATATGGGAAAAGAATAAATGAAAGAAATGGGCTGGTTGCTTTTTCTTTTGGTACTCATGCAAATCATAAACTGAAATGATATAAGCAGTTATAGATGACTTTCTGAAAGTAATTGATAAATAGTAACTTTTTCTTTTTTCCAGATAATTTTCAATAACTTAGATGACCCAAAATACTTGAAACTGGAACTAAAAGTTGTAATTGTATGAAGTTATCATGATAAACTCCTAAACTGTGCAGTCTCTTTATGTGCATCCTCTCTTGCATCAAACATTCTTAACTAGTTGTTGATTATTGTCTTACTACTTATTTCCTTTTAGATTAGGGAAGATATTATTATTATGTTGCTCAAATATGAACTTGGAAAGGGAGAGTTCTTTTTCTGTTGGTGATTAGGAGAAGCCCTTCAACCTGCCATTGGGGTTAGTTACACTTTAAGCACCTTACTTAATAGGACTCTTACTAGAAAAGAAAGTTGTTTTTAACCTACTTTGGTTGTCCCCTATTTTTCTGGTATCATGTTCTCTAGAAAATAGACAAACATTTCCAGTAAGTTTTAAAATTCATAAAAAGATGAGATAGAGTAAAATTCATAAAAAGATGAGATAGAGTAAATGACCGTGTTAATTGATTTCACTGTTTCTGGTTCATTAAAAACCCCCTTCATATCCGTCAAGCAACAAGGACTTAACGAACGTTGGAAGGAGGAAAAGAGTGCCTTATAAATTTTATTGCATAATAACCAAGTACAATGATATTACAAGACCGGCAAAATCCTTGGCCGCCCGCAACACTGCATAAAGATGCACTACAATTAAGCATAATAATTACTCTACAGAAAACAACCTTCTAATAAAAAATCAGTCTGGAACTAACTCAAACATAAACCTAAACTATCAAAATTCCCTAGAAGCAGGACAGCAACAAAATTAGATCCCCTCCACTTAACCAATCCCTAGTTTAGCGATCCGCTTCCCAATTAACTGCTCTCACCACATGATGCACAATGACACCTTTATGTACCACAATCTCTGTAATATCTTTTTACTAAGGATAGGAACATCGGGGTGGAACTTAATGGATTTTTTATCCAGTCGACTGCCACAACACTATATGATTCCAAAATAAGCCTTTTGTTTACCGACAACCCCAAATCCAGAAACAAATTCAAGCCTCTTTTTATCGGCATCAACTCTGCCATAATAGGAGGTCCAGATCCAATACCTTCAGAGAACAATCCCAACATCACTCCTTTCTCATCTCTAATCAACCCACCAATGCCACCCTTCGACCACCACTTATCCATAGCACAGTCAACATTCTCTTTAACAAATCCTGATGGAGGAGGATACCAAGTAACTACCTTTAAAGTCCTCTTAGCATTGCACATCGCACGATCAGCTAACGCAAGGTCCCCCACAAGACTATCAAAGGAAACCATCAGATTTGGAAACTTCGTAGAAAACCAAGCTGTCACTCTGTACCTCGTTAGAAAAGATAGCAGAACACATTCCAATTTCCCATTATTAAAAACAATATCATTTCTCATTTTCCAAATCGACCACAAAACGGCTCCTAGGATGAACCCCCAAACCCGTGATTTGGGTACAAGATCTGCCCAAACAGAAAAAAAATACTGTAGGACAGTCCGGAATTGCAAAGGAAACCTCCCAACGATGCAAAAAGCTAGTCCATAACCCCCAAGACACTTTGCAAGAGAAGAAAAGGTGGGAAACCATTTCTTGAGCCAACCCACAGAACGGACACAAAGGATCTTCTATGTCTTGCACCCCACGTTTTATTAATTCTACTTTAACAGCAATCTTGTTGTGCACCACTTGCCAAACAAAAGATTCGACTCGAGGAGGAGCACACCAGCCCAAACGTTGTTTTCCCACTGAAAACAATCGATAAATCTACTAAGAAAAATTTTTAAGGCATGATTTCACTGAAAAGCACCCATCTCCTTCTCCTGTCCATAGTAGACTATTATCAATTAAAGGCGTAGGATTGAAGTTATACAAAAAGCCATAAGCTCATTCCATTGTATCATCTCCCAATCAGCTAAGTTTCTTCTCATGGCAATATCCCAAAAACAGCCTGTCTAGTTAGCAGTCCTGAAATCGGCAATCTTCCCCTCCTTATTCTTTGATAATGTGAACAAACGAGAGAAGAGAATCTTCAATGGAACTCCGTCCAACCAAGCATCGTGCCAAAACTTGATTGATTTCCCGTTGCCCGCATTAAGTTGAAAATTGCTCCACAAACAAACTCCAAACTCATCTTCTGAGAAACAATTCTTCACAACCCCATTCCAAATCCAAGAAGCTTTATAAGAGTTTGAACTCTCCACCCTCATAGAATTCAGGTCAATATTATTTTTACAACAAATTATCCTTTTCCACCAAGAATTTTTCTCATTAGCAAATTTCCAAGTCCATTTATCCAATAAAGCTCTATTCGTTAGATCGAGATTTGGAACCCCAAGTCCTCCCAAAGCCTTAGGCTTGCAAGCAGTCTCCCAACTTACCCAATGAATTCTATTCTTCGTTCCCGACTCCCCCTAAAGAAATCTTGCCATAATTGAATTAAGTCTCTTTAGAACACATGTTGGCAATCTGAAAATCGACATGAAGTAAATCGGTAGAGAGCAAAGAACCGACTTTATCAACACAATTCTTCCAGCGATGGATAGTGTAGCTGACTTCCAACCCGTCAATTTTTTATAAAATTTTTGGATAACCGGATCCCACAAAGAAACTAAATTTTTCTTCGCCCCAAGTGGTAAACCCCAATAATCAGTTGGGAATAAACCCACAGAGCACCCTATTGCTGTAGCCCACTCACTAATTGCATCGTCGTTCACTCCAATCTGAATATTTAAAGCTCATGCTATTCAACTCATGCCAATTCTCTCTTCTCTTTGGAAGATTAGTAATGGAAGGCAGATGTTGCAATTTGATCTTTCAGTTAATGCTGGTAAGTGGTAAATGAAGAACCAAACTAGTAAAGAATTAATCAGAAACTTAAGGTTCAATTACAAGCCAAGAATCCAATCCAATTACAATTGCTTTAGAGCAACCCTTATCTGAAAGTAGCAAGATAGGAGGATATTTGTGAAGTAGAGAAAGTTAAAAACTTTCTGATGATAAATTGAAGATCCATTTCAATGCAGCTTATGTCATCTCTTTGGTGATAACATATCTTTCTAAGCATTCTGATATAAATCTATTATCATGCTTCTTGTCTTTAATTGAGATTATTTTAAGAATAGTAATCCATCTTTGTTACCGCTTAATCATTCTGAGTACATTGTTATTCTTCTTTTATATAATGTGCCCTTAATTTGATGAAGTTAAACATGCACAGATATACGACATCTGTGGTCCCAATTGGTGCCATGTTTGCAATGACTCTTTGGATGGGAAACACTGCCTACCTGTATATATCTGTCTCATTTGCACAAATGCTGAAGGCAATTAGTAAGTTTCCAAAATTCATTGAGCAAATTACACTTAATACCCATGTTCTTTTTGTTGATTTCCTTTTGGTCACATGTGCCATAAAAATTTACACTTAACCCTGTGGTTGTTTCTGTTTGACTAGTGGGGTTATGCTGTCAAAAAATGGCATGTACTATGACGTTATCTGATTTGTTTCTGAAATAGAAGAGCATCACTTGCTTCAGTTTGTTGGCCCTTTTCTTGATTTTGAAGTGAAGCAAAATCCTGTAGGAGATAATTTGTGTGTATATATGTACATATATTGGACATATTGATTAGAGCTTTTGTTTTGATAGTACTAATAAGGTTATATTTACTACTCTATTCAAGTAGGGAGTGGTGTGACTTGTTGATAAGTCAAACAGCGAGAATTGCACTAGGTCAAGAGAATTTTTTTATATCTTGTTGGATGAAGTTAATTCTGCCCTAACCACAAGGGATTAACTATTATCATCTCTATATTGAGTTTCAGATGGGTAACTAATGCCTGTATAAATTGAGTTGGTCTCAATGCTGTAACATATTTTTTTGATTTTGTGAAAGATATTAGGCTGGTGATTAAAATCCTAGGCATTCCAATACCATGTATTAGTGTCATGAATATGCCAATAAATACATTACTATATGTTACTGTTATTTAGATGGCAGGTATGAAAATTGTAATATCAGTACTTTTCTTGAATGAGCTTTCAGTGCCAGTGGCTGTTTTCATCCTTGGAGTAGCAGCAGGACTGGAGGTAATGAGCTGCAGAATGCTTTTAATAATGTCAGTGATAAGCTTTGGTGTTCTGGTGGCTTCTTATGGAGAAATAAATATTAGCTGGATTGGAGTTGTTTACCAAATGGGTGGTGTTGTCGGAGAATCTTTAAGACTTATATTCATGGAGATTTTGGTTAAGCGAAAGGGTCTCAAATTAAACCCTATATCTCTCATGTATTATGTTAGTCCTTGCAGGTACTTATTACAACATTCTTGTTTTTTTACCTTTATTCTCTTGGCAACATTCCATTTCTTCCCGTATATAAATTTAGTTCCAGTTGGGATTGAAGGTTCGTGTCTCTTTTGCAGTGCTCTCTGTCTGTTTATTCCTTGGCTTTTTCTGGAGAAACCAAAAATGGATGCCCATGGGATGCGGAACCTTAAGCCTCTTGTGCTAACGCTCAACTCTCTCTGCACCTTTGCACTCAACTTGTCAGTTTTCCTAGTGATCTCGCACACTAGTGCTCTAACCATTCGTGTCGCTGGAGTTGTCAAGGATTGGATGGTTGTTTTAGTATCTGCCCTTCTCTTTGCAGATACAAAGTTGACAGCCATAAATTTACTTGGTTATGGCATCGGTAAGTATCGTAAAGTGAATTATTTTTTATATATTCATCTCTTGTATTGTAACGAGCATTATCTATTACATCATTTTGAGGACATAGTCTAAATCCAACAATCCATTCATATGGAGGACAAGGATGTGCCTCAGTCTTTCTGGTTATTTTTAACAGTACCTTAGCAGCAGCAGATGGTTTTAAATATAAGTGAATTATAGAAATTTGAATTAGTTGATAGAAACAATGGATCTTTCAAGCATGGTGGAGCTAATCCATGTTTAAGCTGGACTGGACTTGAATACTTATGCCTTAGATATGCTAAACATTGCATCACTTCTCTTGTTCTTCAGCAGCTTATGCCATGGTATTGCCGGAATATTTAGGAGTATTTATACCCCCCCGTACTTAACAAAGCTCTGCGTCACTGGTTTAAACTGTTCCTAGAGGTATCTGATGCTACATGCTATTAGTGATTTACTCTGATGGGGCCTGTGAGTGCATATATATATATATATATATATATATATATATGGGGGAGAGCATTTATTTTTACTTTTGTGTATTTATTTTATCAGTTGAAATGAGACCCTAGACCCCAGAGAAGGCTAAGTGGCCTTGTGTGTTGCAATAAGGATGCACATAAGCCACAACTGAACTAACTTGTTTGATATTAAGGGTGACAACAACTTCTATAAATTTGAGATTATAAGTTTAGTTAGTTCATTTTTTTAATTTTTTACTTTATTTCTCTTAGTTTTAATTACCAACTGGTTCCTCCATATACTTTCTTTTAAGGACAAGAATCTCTTTTTCTTTTCCTGGAAACTTGAGGTAATTTATGATCTTGGAGCTTACTGGTTTGAGATAAAAATCTTAAAAAATTAGATGCTAACCGTTTCTCACATACCTAATCACTAACTTTCCTTGTGTTAATGCGTGGTTGTTTCGATGAAGTACCACGAGGCATTCATTTCATTATGAAAATTGCATGAAGTTTAAATGATATCGAAGTTATGCTGTCAAAGGCAGGTTCTTGTCTGGGATTATCCTGATACAGTCCTAGACTTCATTATGATTCTTTTCATCTAGTAACTCGTTCTAATGCTTCAGTATTGTAATTGTTATAAATTTTGATTAATTTCTAGTTTGTGTTGTGGCATTTTGAAGAAACGATCTGCTTCAGACATAAACTCTTTCAGTCTTCCCTGTTTCTCCGATGAATTTAATATTTTAATATTATTTTTATTATTATTATTTTGTGTAGCCATTGCTGGAGTGGCGGCGTACAATAATCACAAGTTGAAGAGGGAAGCATCTCGCAATATCTCTGACAACTCCCAAGATGCCCTGACCATACCGATGACTACGTCATCGAATCCAAACAGATAGTAAAATAGAACACAAATCTGCCAAGATGATGTTGAAAGTATAAAATAATTGCAAGAATGAGAGTTACCCGGAACCACCAGTTGATCTCGTTGCTCCTACTTATTTCGGCATGTTCATTACACACTACAGGCAAAAAACCCCATGGCCTGACTTTTGGATTATAGATATAATGTAGTTTTAACTTGTTTTTCCATTGATTCTGCAGCAGATTATTTGGTGTACTTGTTTGTGCCATTATCGAGCTGCAACGCGGTTGTTATATCTGGGGAAAGTGTCCTCCTGGGATGAGGAAAAATAGAGAAACTGTAAAGAAATACTTGGACTGTTTTAAACTATAGTGTTATTATGATTTTGTTTTTTGCTGTCTTAAATGTACACTGCTTTACCGTATCGGATTAGAGGTATCCATGCTCATGTTGGCTGGGGTTTGGGTTTAAACAGTAAAATTTGATTAGACTTTAAAGCTTGTTTTATTGTTTAAATTAACATTAAATTTTTATGTCAAAATTTAATATTTTTTATTATTTAAATACTAAATGGAAACTTTTATATTTAATGTATTACTTTTACTAAATTAAAAAATACATCAAAATATTATCCTAAATACATTGGGTTGGATCATTTTGGATTAGGTCATTTTAGGTTTAGATCATTTCGGTTTAGATTTTGTTCGGGTTTAGTTTGAGTATATAAAAATTCAGTTTGGGTTGGTTATTGGGTTGAGTCAAAATCAGATCGGTTGGTTATTCGGTCGGATTAATATCAAATCGGATCGGGTCAATATCAGATTAATTTAAGTCAACATTTAGATTTTCAGATCAACTATTGTTGCTCTTTGTCGTCATAATTTTCGGTGTTGTTCTTTATTACTTATAATTCAAGAATTTTATATAAATATATATTATCACGTCCCAAATTCAGAGTTTGAAATTTTAGTTTTAATCAACCGAATCAATAAATTTTTAAAATCAAGAATTTTATGTGAATATATATATATATATTGTCACAGTCAAAATTAAAAGCTAGAAGTTATTTTATCTGATATAGAGATGGTCTTTTAACTAAGGAAAGATTATATTGAACCATTGAACTATTACTAGAAGTGATGGTTAACTAGTAGTATAATATAAAAATATAAATAAAACATACATCATTTTACTATTTATCAATGTTAAAAATAGATAATAATAATAATAATAAATAAATAAATAAATAAATTATTTATTCATTTAGACTCAATTATCGGATTAAAATTGGGTCGAAGTTTGATTCGGAACGGATATTGATAAAATAAATTTGGGTTGCTTTTGATTCAGGTTGCTTTCAGTTCAGGTTAATTTTGGTTCAGATTGCTTTCGATCCAATTAAAATTTGGGTTGCTTTCGATTCAGGTTACTTTTAGTTCAGGTTAATTTTGGTTCGGATTGCTTTTGATCCAATTAAAATTCGGGTTGATTTCGGTTCAACTTGGATTATTTTAGGTTTCGGGATAATTTTGGGTCATCTTATTTGGGTCTATATCGAGTCTTAGATCAAGTAAATCGGATACGTACGGGTCAAATTATATATATATATATATAATCGAAATCTTTGAAACTATATATTTATATATATATAATTTTTTATTTTATTTATAATTTTACCTTTAATTTTTTTGACGTAAGATTTAATTAAGGTTAAGAGAAACAAAACAATGGACGCATAACACAAAAAAACCCAAAATCGAAGATTAAGAGATTTAGGTGGTGTTTGTTTTTGTAGAGGTAAAAGGTCTGCAGTCTGCAGATCACATCTGTAGGCATCTATAGCAGAATAGGTGGACCAAAAGTCTACAGTCTACAAGAAGAAGAATGTTTTTTAACGTCTGCAGACTGCTAAAATGAACTGAAATATAAATAAACTTATTTTTTAAACTTAAAAGAGTTTTATAATACCGAGATTTAAATAATTTTAGTTTTACAATACTAAAATCTAAATAATCCATACAACTACAATAATAAATTATTTAAAATAAATCAATCTATACAACTACAATAATAAATTATTTAAAATAAATCAATCGATACAACTACAATAATAAATCAATCCATATTTTAAAATAAATCAATCGATACTAATAAATTATTTAAAATAAATCAATCCATATTTTAAAATAAATCAATTCATACTAATAAATTATTTAAAATAAATCAATCCATACAACTACAATAATAAATCAATCTGTATTTTAAAATAAATCAATTCATACTAATAAATTATTTAAAATAAATCAATCTATATTTTAAAATAAATCAATCCATACTAATAAATTATTTAAAATAAATCAATTCATACAACTACAATAATAAATCAATCCATATTTTAAAATAAATCAATTCATACTAATAAATTATTTAAAATAAATCAATCCATATTTTAAAATAAATCAATTTATACTAATAAATTATTTAAAATAAATCAATTCATACTAATAAATTATTTTAAAATAAATCAATACATATTTTATAATAATTTATTTTAAAATAAATAATCTTATTAAATTATTTAAAATTAATTTAATAAATAATCATATTTTATAATTATTTTTGAAGAAGTTTGAAGACATAAAATTATATCTGCACCAAGAAGAATTCGCACAGATATTAGAAATACTTCTATCTTCTAAAAAATAAATAGTCTACAAAATCTAATATTTACGCGTGATTTACATGATACAGACACAAGAGATTTGAAGATGTAAAACAATAAAAACAAACGCAGACTTAGAGTTTAAAGGATCAAATCAATTAATTGAGGAAAGGAAAAGAAAAGAAAACTGAAAATAAACAAATAAATAAACTATATTTTGAAGGAACCAACCCTCGCGAGATTTTTCTTTCTTCCTTTGAAAGGTTCGTAAACGGGGAAAAAGGGGAAATTTTGATTTTGAGAGCAAATTTTCCCGGAAAAATTGAAGGAGATGCGATTCTGGCGGTGTGGGTGGCCGTCCGATGAGAGATCGACGAAGGAGGATCATCGCCGTTGATGGGATTTGTCGAGTTACAAATGACTTGGCAGCCGAGTATACTCAGTGAAAAACGGAAGAAGGGCCCCCCTTTAGGCTTAAGAAACCTCGGCAACTCGTGTTACCTCAACAGCGTTCTTCAGTGTCTCACCTACACTTCACCGCTCGCCAATTTCTGCCTCCGCTCCAAACACTCCTCCTCCTGCGACACCTCCGCCTCCAAAAAACCCCGCGACTGTCCCTTCTGTATCCTTGAAGCGTGGATTACACGCTCCTTAACCCTCGATCTCGCCCTCGACTCGCCTTCCAAGATCCAAAGCTGCATTAAAATCTTCGCTGAGCACTTCCGGTTCAGCCGACAAGAGGACGCCCACGAATTCTTGAGGTACGTTATCGATGCTTGCCATAACACCTGTCTTCGTTTAAAGAAATTGCGGCGAAAGGGAAGTGAAAGCGTTGGAGGTGGAGCAGAAGCGGTGAATGGCAATACCGTAGTTAAGGAGATATTTGGGGGTACTTTGCAAAGTCAGGTTAAGTGTTTGGGATGTGGTGGGGAGTCAAATAAAGTTGATGAGATTATGGATATTAGTCTTGATATTTTGAACAGTGGTTCTCTCAAAGAATCTATGCATAAGTTTTTTCAGCCTGAGGTTTTGGATGAAAATAATAAGTACAAGTGTGACAAGTAAGTTCTTATTTCAATTTAATTGGATTATCAGTATTATTTTGCTTAGCTATGATTTCGTTATTACTTTTGCAACTTGGCTTTATGCTTTCAAGTTAGAATAACAACGAATTTTTTTTTTTTGGAAAACTATGACATTTCATAGTGTCTTGTTTCTTTATTTTTTTGATAGGAATAAAAGGCCTCAATAAAACCCCCTTGGTGATTAACGGAACTTAACAATAGTTCCTTAATCCACACAAGGAGGAAAGGAGTGCCCTAGGATTCATTAAACTCAAATATAACAAAGTAATACAAACCAATCTCCCTCAAGAGATACAAAACCAGAAAGAAACATCCCTTAACAGAGCATAATTCAACCAATACCCTCCTTAGCTAGGACATCCGCCTCTATATTGGCTATCCTACTAACCCAACTAATAAAACCTTCAAAAACACTAAGCTTTTGAATAATGTCTTTAACTATTTGAACATAAACAACAGGACAAGAGACCACATCCTTAATCCAGCCAACTGCCACCTGACTATCACTCTCAATAATCAATCTATCTTTAAACCTATGACGAATAGATTCAAAAAAATCTAAACCCTTTAGGATAGCCTTCAATTCCATTAAAGTTGGGGGCCCCGGACCAGCAGGCTCTTTAAAGGAGCCAAGAATCGAACCAAACATGTCTTTCAAAATACCACCTAAGCCACTCCTTTTCCAATCACTCGAGGTAGCCGCATCCACATTAAGTTTAATAAAACCTTTTGGAGGAGGGGACCAAGGAAACACGGTTGAAACCCGATTAGAATGGGACGAGTAGGAATCCACTATGGACGGGTCAACAATAATATCATCCTTGGAAATAGTAATATGAGTTTCCTTAGCTAGAAACCATGAAGCAATCCTGCACCTAGCTAGAAAGAAAATCTCTGCTCGATCAAGCTTCCCTCCTTCAAACACTATAAAATTCCTGGTCTTCCAAATTGTCCATAGAACAGCTCCAGGTATAAATGGCCAGATAAGAGAGTTGGTCTTCAAGTCATTCCAAGCCAATAGGAATCTTTTAGCATCTGCATGAAAAACCGACTGAAAATTCCAATAGCCCAAGAATTTCATCCAAATTGGCCAAACCACCGAACAGGAAAAAAATAAATGCGATGAAGACTCTTCTTCAAGATTACAGAAAGAGCACAAAATATCATTTATGCCCTGAACACCTCTCCTAACCAGAGCTGTCTTGACCGCCAACTTCTTTAAGATAACTTGCCAAAGAAAAGTCTCTACTCTTGGAGGCAACAGACCCCTCCATACATTAGACTTCCAAAATTTAGCTTCCTCTGAATCGGGAGAACCCGAATAAGATAGATTGACACATGATTTCACAGTGAAAACCCCTTCCCCATTCCCCTTCCAATACAGTCCATCAGCGGCATCAGCAGAAATAGAAAAATCAGAGATAACAACCATCAAATTTGCCCATTGCTCAAATTCCCAGTCATTCAACTCTCTCCTCAACTGAACGTTCCAAATCCAACCCCCTGAACTGAACTCCCCAAACTGAGATAATCTTCCTGCTTTATTCACTGCAATAGAAAATATTCTAGGGAACAATACCATCAAAGGATGATCCATTGTCCAATTGTCTTGCCAAAACCGAATGTTCCTCCCATTGCCAATTT